CTGTAACCTGTCGGCTCAATGGCTAAGTCGATGCGAACGCTTCGGGATGCCGGGTTCGATCCCAGCTGCGGGCCATGCGCCCTGCGTTGGTTTCGACAGTGGTATCAAGAAAGCCGACCGTCCAGAAGCAATGACAAACTACTGGAAGTAAATTTGTCTAGAAAAACCACACAACAGCCAGGGGCTGTTGGGGTTGGTTCTGCAACGTCCTGTAAAGGATACGCATTTAACCTCTCTTTATCTACATGTGTTGCCCCGGAGACCGTCTCCAGGGAATCCACGTCTAGGCAGGCTCGCCCTGAAGGGAAGACAGGGGCGGATCATAAGCATTCCCCGCCATTCAAGCGACTTCCATAAAGGCAGAGCTGTCTTATAGTGCTCTAGTTTGGGGCTGACCCAAGGATTCGTCACGTCCTGCATATGGCTGCTTAATCTCACTTACGTATGTTGGGCTTCCCAGTCGTCATGGGCTGCGCCCCCGGAAATCAGCAGGAGCAGCCCTCGCTTCTGAGACTTGAATGGCCACACAAATAGGTACATTTTCTTCGGCAGGTTTGATACCTTTAACTGTTTCTAACTGGGAACTTAGCAAGACAGTGCGGCAAGAACATGCATCCGTCCTGGCTCCCCTGTGATCGGTGTAACCGCGCCACGAAACAATAATACAAATTACATTATTGTCTTCAATAAATAATTACACAGTATATAAGATAACAAATATATACTCTGAGAAGTTGATGAATACTTTTTATCCCAACTATAACCTTGAGTGTTAAACAGGATATTGTTGGGAAAATTACTTCTACTACGCAAAAATTGTCCGTCTCTGACAGCAAATATTTTGATGCTGATTATTTTGGTTGCTGCACCAGAAATTGTGTATATAAGTAACCGGTCTTTTTAGGAGAAGAATAGAATTATAATAAAGCCATCACTCCTTAACTGAGGAATACCAAAACTGCTGAAGTGGCTCGAATATATTGTGTCTAAAGTTTTTCCCCCGGGACAATATTATATAAGGAGCCATTCCTATTATGAGAAGTAGAAGGTAGGTGAGACCCACTGCGATAGAAAATGTGGACACCTGGGAAATATCTAGCTAAAGACTAACCCACAATTCATAAAGCCCCCAACTGTGTTTCACATAAAAGATGAAGAATTATTCTTATAGAACCAACATACATACTGGCGTTCGAAGTGATACGATTGAAGATAACATTTCAACATTTAATGATCAAACTTCAACAACATATTACCCAGGGACCATTCTCAGGACCAAAAATCTAGTGCCAAAGCACTATAGTTTATAAGCCTTCGGGACAGAGCATAAAACATTTGATTAAGAGCATGACACAATCACATCTGTATGTTCATGAACAGACAATCTACTGTCATAATGGATACTCGTCAGGTTCAGGTTGGGAGTTATGCTCCTCTCCTGTATCAGACTGGATACTGTACATAAACAAAATTTTTTAAACCAAGATAAGTAATGGCATTGAGGCAATTCTCCAATGGGTCTAGGCTCCTTTCTTCCGAGATCATATTGTTGACTTCAATAACAGCCCCTTTCTTCCGGATGTAGTTTCTGTCTTTCTCTTGAATTGGGCAGAGTGACTTGTTCATCACGCTGCACATCCAGTTCCTTGCAAAGCGTAGACTGGCATTAAGGTACACAGTCCATAGGTTCACTGTACCGAGGAACATGCCAAAGGACATGACTTCGTATCCCTGGGGGGTGCAGCCTAAGGCTGTAAAAAGGGAACATTTTACTAAGGGGACAAGACGTTTCCGTAACCAACACAGAACGAGCGTCATCAGTCATTGTTACTTGTGGAGCTTTTGAGGAGGAGATCGGAGCGCCCATGGATCTGTCCGGAGTGCTGTAATGATTATACTTTCTAATCACTAGTCCCTAGGTCCAGGTTGTAGGTTCTGCTTCTTTGATTTGTACAGCCTTCTCCTTACACCGCAATAGCTTCTGGTAGATTGCAGGCTGCCATTTCTGCAACCAGTCCATGAGATCCGGATCCAGTTTCTACATCTCTTTTGCATGAGACTGGGTTCTCTTTCATGCCACACAAATACATTACCTTGCAGAGTTAAGCCGGACATTGTTAGTGCCAGCCAATGGGGGTCATGGTCCAGAGTCTGCTTTTCTCTTGAATATGACAGCCTGAGATCGCTAGCCTCATTAACTTCTGCAAAGTTTGAACTGTCATTTCCATCTCCATCTGGAGTAGACCATCTTCAAGCTGACACAAACTTTAATGTTGGCAATGCAGGTAAAAAAAAAAAAAACTTTCATTGCAATCTCCAACTAGAACTGCTCGTCTGGCCATTTTTAAGTCCCCAAATTTGCCGACTTCAGATTCTCAGACCATTTTGTCATTCTCCAACTGCCAAGAGATTTTGTACGTGCGCAACAATACACGGGCGTCCGGTCTTACTACCAAGAGACCAAGGGGAAATTACTAGAAGTAAATACTGCACTCACCGGTTTTTGAACCCGGGACCTATAGCCCTCGAGGCGGACACCGTTCCTCGAGACTATGCAGTCCTCACCATAAGGCTAGAATTCTCCCCCAATGATGTCCTCTGTCCGAAATTGTTTTCCTAACTCTGGCTTTTATTGCAACCAACCCATACATCCTCTCCCCCCCCCTTTTCCCCCACACCCAACAGACTCTGTTCGTTCATCACCGATTCTGCAACTACCAAAATGTCTGTTACTGACTTTATTGTCTGTATTTAATATTTTTCAGTCACTGTTGTTATGGGCCTTAAAAATTTAGGCCACATCGCATGGCTAGTAAACTTAAGGGGCCAAAATATATAGGCCAATCCATCCATCTACCATTTTGTTGATCCACGAATACAGTCAGCCATCATTCCGTCTATCCATCTACCCACCTAATCTTTCCCACGACCCCCTCATCCATTCACTTCATCGTCCACTCATGCCTTTTCCCCATCTATCTTTCCATCGCTGCTTTACATTCTGGTTTTTACCAGTTTTACGCTTTAGCTCGACTGATTACTTTGTATAACAAGCATCCTTACTGTACCCATTTAATAGCTGACAATAAGAGAGAAGCATCTTATCACGAGACCCTTGTTTTTAACCGTTTTTATATATTAGTACACATAGATCCATACATCTATATTTTCAATTCCATTCATCCACTAATATAGCCATCCTTTATTTCATCCATTCATCTACCCACCAGTCCATCTCACCACCCACTCGTCCACCATCCACCCATGCTATTTTCCATCGCTCCTTTACATTCTGGTTTTTACCAATTCTGTGCTCGGTTCGACTGATCTTTTGTATTACAATTATCCTTACTGTCTCTATTTCATAGCTGACAGTAAGAGAGAAGCATCGTGTCATGAGACCCTTGTTTTTATTTACCTGATTTCATATTTGGCACACATATCCATCCATCCATTATACTGTCCATCCATCCTCCAGTACAGCCATCCATCATTCTATCTATTTGTCTACCCATCAATCTATCCCACCATCTATCCATCTGTCTGTTTGTCAACCTGTCTGTATTTGTTCGCTAGCATAGGCACCACTTTTATTCAATGGGGATGTACTAATGTCCTCCCCACGACCCAACCCTGGTTACGCCCTATTGGCCAAACCTTCCCTCCCCATTAATGCCCTCAGTGTAGGATTTTGTCTTTTAGCGTCTACATCGCCATTTTTCTAGGTATACCGACCCAGTTTTCGAAGAACGAGCCACACAAACAAAAAAAATGTTCCCATGCCGGGAATCGAACCCGGGCCGCCTGGGTGAAAGCCAGGAATCCTAACCACTAGACCACATGGGAGACATAGACGTTATAGAGAATTATAGTTTCTATCATCATTTATTCAGTTAACGCTATTTTATAAATTTTTATTCGATAATTTATTGCTAGATCCTATACATTTTAAACAAAAATTGTTTAATAATTAAGAAAACTAACAGAGGTACTTGCTTTAAATAGCAAGCAGTTTTAATAATAATGTAGACGTCTGTCAGACCAAATTTATCTCCTCAAAAATGAACGGTATTCCGCATCCGCTTTTGGCTTCATAACTACTTGAGAGATGAAAATTGTTTTTGAATTGGGCTTGTGGCAGGTATTTACTCAACGTTAAATCTGGACAGCTATTAGACGAGCAACCTTATTGCGTGACGAATTAAGAATAAATAGGAAGAAATTAACGAGGGGCCCCAAAGTAACGGATAAATTAAAGTAATTTAATTTCAAAGTACCAAACACAAGACTCCTTTTCGTTTATCGGTTATCTTCTGAGTACTACTACTAGTACTAGTACTACTGTCTACTCTACTACTTTACTTCTTACTTTTTTTTTAAATTTATGATGTATAATAATAATAATTGTATAGACTAAATGGCAGAATTAAGATAAAGATATGATATACTATACTATAGTATATCATACTTTTATCTTAATTTTGCCACAACGTAAAACTTTTTGGATATGAATGAGGGTTAGATTTCTCTGTCCCTCTGTCTCTCTCTCTCTCTCTCTCTCTCTCTCTCTCTCTCTCTCTCTCTCTCTCTCTCTTAAAGCTTTCTGAATAATATGAATGGAGGATTTCTCTCTGTCCCTTTCTCTCTCTCTCTCTCTCTCTCTCTCTCTCTCTCTCTCTCTCTCTCTCTCTCTCTCTCTCTCTCTCTCTCTCTCTCTCCATTTTCCTGTATTTTCTTGATTAGTTAATTATGTAAGAGTAAGAATATCTGAGACAGTCATGGAATATTATTATTTTTTTTAAATTTAACACCAAAGTTCTGTTCTGTTTTCAACACTTTGGCCCTGATTAAACTTGGCTGAACACCCCTATTCTAGATATTGTTTGAAGCATCTTATTTCTGTATGATAAGTTTTCTTTTATCTTTGGACAGAAACGTCAAATGTGAACTGAATAGAATCAAACTATTTCAGGCAACGATCTAGAACTTAACACCCAGCCATGTCATTATATGATGATTTAGATATCAAGGAGGAGTCGGGGAGCGCAAAAATTACAAAATCGTCAGTAGTTTGTAAGTTTCTGTTTGTGCCTATCTTTAATTCCTCTTTTTTCTATGTTTTTCTCATATTTTAAATTGCAAGCACATTAAAATTTACTATAATTGTAAGGATTGGTTGATGAATCCTCAGGAAGTATGAGCTGTAAATATTTAGTAATTTTCATTGATCCTGTTTGAGGGTTTGCATCTGTCAGAGGCAAACTGATGTAAAGACATGCTGGTGCTTTATTAACATCCTACCCCAAACAGGGAAAATCAACAGGTCATGGGACAGTCTAATACTTCGGGGGTGGTAGATAGGCTGCATGCAGCCGGGGGACCCAGGATGCATGCAGTCCGTGAGACCTAGGCTGCACTCTCTCGTGAGACGTAGGTGGGTTGGTGTTAGGGCCTGTTCTAGACGTTTTAGGGTTGTTAAAAGCATTATAAAGCCAGGAAACCCAGTCTTACCACCCTCTAAAATGTTAGACTGTCCTGTGACGTCATCTGGGGGGTAGGATAATAATAAAGCACTGACTTTCTTTCTGATCTGGTTTTGAAATCCTAACTCGGCAAGAACTATGTTGTTTTCCCAAAGTTAAGAAACTAGAAGGGTTTGCAAGACCAGAAATGGAACTTCACATCTAGGACAGAGAAGCATTTTAATATGTCATCAGGCCATGATTCAGCACAGCATACATGGACTGACTGAAAGTAGGCCTTAGTTGGTGTTCCTACCATGGGTTTCAGGCTTTCATTGTGAACAGAATTGACCCAGCAAGTAAATAGCAAAGGACGCCTTTTGATGCAGTGACACATTGTATACATTGTGCTACTCTTTTGACAGATCAACACTTGATGTATCATGTTGGCAGTATCATGCTGATCACCTTTACTTTCCAGAACATTTTCTTGTGCTGATTTTATCCTGAGTCAGCCTGTGAGCCCCGGTCAGTTGTTCTAACATAGCCACACTAAAGTTGATTTGAATGCACAGAACTGGAAGTATCTTCCATAGCCTTATCCACCACAGAGTTACAAGGAAAATAAAACATTGCAAAAACAGTAGAGGAGAAATGGCTAGGGCTTTTTCTTATCCGTGTAGGGCTGTCTTCAAGTGAGCCACATAACTCAGCCAGGCTGTTATCAAGTGAGGCACATAACTCAGCCAGGGTGTCTTCAAGTGAGCCACATAACTCAGTCAGGCTGTCTTCAAGTGAGCCACATAACTCAGTCAGGCTGTCTTCAAGTGAGCCACATAACTCAGCCAAGCTGTTATCAAGTGAGCAACTCAGCCAGGCTGTTATAAAGTGAGTCACATAACTCAGCCAGGCTGTCTTTTAAGTGAGTCACAAAACTCAGTCAAGCTGTTATCAAGTGAGCCACATAACTCAGCCAGGCTGTCTTCAAGTGAGTCACAAAACTCAGCCAGGTTGTCTTCAAGTGAGCCACATAACTCAGACAGGCTGTCTTCAAGTGAGCCACATAACTCAGCCAAACTGTTATCAAGTGAGCCACATAACTCAGCCAAACTGTTATCAAGTGAGCCACATAACTCAGACAGGCTGTCTTCAAGTGAGCCAATTAACTCAGCCAAGCTGTTATCAAGTGAGCCACAAAACTCAGACTTTCCTCTTGTGTCGAGTGCAGCATATAGGGCAGAGGTCATGACTCTCCATGCATGGCGGTTCGTTGCAATCTGTTGTAGGTCTTGGATGTTTGAGTGGCCCATGAGCGAGCCTTCCCTGGTGATAGTTCTACGTAGGGTTTCCCTTGGTCTTCCACAAGATCTTTTCCCCTGTGGTGTCCAAATGAGGGCTTGGTAAGGAAGTCTTGATTTATCCATTCTAAGGGCGTGGCCGACATAGTTCTTCAAGTGGGCCACATAAATCGGCCAGTCCTTCAAGTGAGCCATATAACTCAGACAAGCTGTTTTCAAGTGTGTGCTGAACATTGGCGAGTTGGCTGATTTGTAATGTATAATTAAGTTCTGAGGACAAATGTGTCATGTTCTGCTCTAAAAGATACATTTTTTCTTTAGAAGATACATTTTCTCTCCCTAGTAGGTTTGTAAACATGACTGCATTTGTACTTCAGAAGTAAATTATTGACAGCTCTTCCTCACTGAAATCCAAGTCCTAGCGCAAGTCACTTTGATCTAGCTATCATCATCATCAATCATTTTCAGGTCCTGTGGCGATGTGCAAGTGACAAAGCCGCATACGTGGGTTAGGTTAGCAGCCGTAGCCACAGACCTGCACGCAGGCGGCTTAGGCCATAAGGTCGCTGTATACTGACAGAAGCAGTAGTGGACTTAGGCAGCCCCTTGAGCAACTGAGCGGCCCACTTTAGGAAAGTACTGCTCACCTCCATGGCATAAGGAAGGGGCTAGAAAAAGTGCTCTAAAAAATGCCTGCTCCACCTTGTCATGACAAACATACCGCGGCTGGAGGGAGCCCCTCTTCTGCGGTCGGCAAAAACTAAAGAGGACAGAAAAAGCGCAATAAGGATACTCTCAAGACTGCTCTCAATTTGTTTGGCATCATCACAGTGACGTGGGAGGCTGCTGCGCAATACCCTTCTGGATGCTGTACGTTCCTCAGGCATGGTGCATCAGCCTGCCAGGCAGCGGAGGTTGCACAGGCAGAGAAATGAAAGCAGACGAATGAATCGTACTGCTAATTCCACACTTACTGTGCCTTCCATGTGTGTGTGTCAGTGTGTGAGAACGAATGTATATATGTCTGCCTGTATGTTTGTAATGTATGCATGTATGTATGTGTGTGTAAGTGAGTTGGTGAGCGTGTATGTGGGTGTATGTATGTATATGGGTGTGTGTATGTACGCGCGGGTTTTTGCATGCACTTTACAACTCATGCTTTTGTGTTCTTTTATAATATTCACAATATGCATATCATCATATGATCATAACATGCTTTATTAGTAAAATACAACTGCTGTGTGAAAGATGGTTGACTGGAAGGGTCGAATGTAAAACGGGCCTGAGTGCCCAATTTGTGACCATTTGAAAGTAAAGTTTGTTCGTTGGTTAGTTCCATCTATTGTCGGCACTGCTCAAAATTTTTGCACGCTCATATTGGACTAATGAGCCACCTGCGTACTCATAATCATTGATCATTACTTCTTTAGATAAAAGTGGTCTTCATCGCTCATGATTGATGAACATCAACAATATTGGCCCTTGTTCTAGTTTTATAGTCATTAACTGTGTGAAATTTTTGTCTTTACTGTTAAACTTGGCTGGGGGCTAATAAAATTGTGGGAGGGTCTCTAACTAGATTCTCCAAGCGTCCACATTTTATACAGTAGTGGGTCCCGCCTACCATCTAGTTCCCAAAACAGGAATTGCTTTCTGCATTTATAATAATATCCTGGGACAGTTTCTTAGGTAGAATTATGTATCTCAAGCCACATCTGCAGTCTAATGGCATTCCTGAAATTAATGAAGCTGATCATCATTCACGAGAATTGTATCACTTCACCGTAGAGACCTTATGTACTTTATGGCATTCACTATAAATGTACACAGTACATCCAGTGACAGTTTCAAGACAAACAAGAAGATATTAGTTTTCTTATTTTAAATCGAGACCCCCATGTGGGATGCAATTTTTCATTATTTGAAGCCCCCCCCCCCACCCTGGCTTTTGCCAGGGGCCCTGAATATAACGGGACCATAAATGTGGCCTAACGGCTGAACAGGGTTTCTGGAACCTCTCCACGGGTGATTCTCATCCGCATGGTGGCACTTTGTATCACCGGGTGTTTATCGCTCCGTGTGATGCCCTAGTGGAGTAAATTTACTTACTTACTTTTCTTATTTGATGTAACAGTTTGAGAATAGTTACGACTGACAATTTTAAAAACTGCTAGCATTGTTTTCAATCATTCTAAAGTGGTTTTGCTGCACGTGTTAATAATTAATTTTAAAAAAAATGTCTCTCAGCCTCACTATGTTCTTTTCCCCACTAAACAGCGCCGATCTGGGAAACTGGATTTTTTAGGCTATAGGAAATGTTACATTGGTTTAGAAAGAATACTGGTGAAAGGCATGGTTCTTAAAAGAGGCGGCAGGATTGATTATCACAAGTGTGAATAGAGGATATTAAAGATACTGTCTGCAGGAAAGGGCACAGGACAGGAGAACTGGCAAGAGAGTCTTTCTGATGAGAGGGATATTTTGTAAAAGACCTGCAGTATGATAATCGTTTAACAAAATATGACAGATATGTAATCAGGACAATGATTCAGCACAAATGAATGATGCCACCTTGTGCAAAAAAAAGAGCAAACTTCCTTAGTAACCATGAGATGGCCTTAAATTTCTACAGTGCAACTAAAGAAGACAATGTGATTTATTCATTTCAGTGGAAAGGATTTATCTTTTGCTTTATAATATGTTTATATAATTATGTAATAATGCACCTGAATAAATGCAATGAAAAATATGGTTTGCTCTGAATTAAGTTCACACTGGGTAAACTTTTTTAAATTATTATTATTCTTTACATCTGTAGCTGGATGGTCACCTGGGTATAAACTTCTGGCTTCAACCTTGCAGGCAAAGAAGGCTTCAGTATTACAACCTAAAGTAAGACCTTATGTTTGAGTTATCTCTTACAACCTAAAGTAAGACCTTATGTTTGAGTTATCTCTTACAACCTAATGTTTGAGTTATCTCTTACAACCTAAAGTAAGACCTTATGTTTGAGTTATCTCTTACAACCTAAAGTAAGACCTAATGTTTGAGTTATCTCATTTATTCCCATGCTTTATTGGATCATTTAGGGACAGATCAGTTAAGAACGCTGGGCTCTCTTGTGGAGGACCCAGGTTCAAATCCTCAATAAGGTTGTGGATTTTTTTCTGACAGGGTCAAAAATAAAATCCTAGTTTGCACAGTCCGTGGTGACTGCACTAGCCCTGTGGCCCGAAATCATCAGTATCAGAGGAGTCCCAGCCTTAGACGCACAAAAGTGGCAAATACAGGCAGCAGTGGCAGTTTTATGGCATAAATTATATCACCGGAAATGGATGCAAGTGCAAGCCTTTCTTTTTATTAGTTTTTGTTTCAATCAAATAGAAATCAGTCATTAGTTACACAAGTTTCCTGAGTGTGTTCAAGGGCCCCATTGTGAGGAAAATAGGAATAGACCCATTGCCTCCCCAACAAACATGTCGCAGGAGTCAACTAACTGGGGAGCTTTATTCAAAGTCAGAGTGCATCTGCCTGAGTGACAAGCAACAACCAACTGCACACAGATAAGCAAATAAAATGGATGTGCATGCAACACTCAGGCCCTGACACAAAGCCAAAGTCAAATCCAAGTGGATGAACTAGCATGACTTTCTATGGGAACTTGAGCTGACAAACAAAGAAGAAGAAGTTGTAAGTTCTTCAGTCTTCTGCTGCTGAGTTTCCAATGAAGTTGAGACCTTCAACTAAATGTACTGTTGGATTAGAGACTTGAAAGCCAGGTGTTTCCAAGGAAGTTTAGACCCTCAACTAAATGTACTGTTGGATTAAAGACTTGAACGCCAGGTGTTTCCAATGAAGTTGAGACCCTCAACTAAATGTACTGTTGGATTAGAGACTTGAAAGCCAAACAGCTTTTAGACCCTATAAAATGTTATGCAAGACTATCCTCTCCTGGAGGAGCATGAAAGCAATATGTTGCCTCATCCAGTAGACCTGAAATCTCAGTTTTGGGGGAGTCTTGAGCTCTCATCCCAGTTTATGGCCTGCAGAGGATTGTACCTATGACCAGAGAAGACTGACGAAGAAAGTCCTCAGCCGACAGAGGATTGTACCTATGACCAGAGAAGACTGATGAAGAAAGTCCTCAGCCGACAGAGGATTGTACCTATGACCAGAGAAGACTGACGAAGAAAGTCCTCAGCCGACAGAGGATTGTACCTATGACCAGAGAAGACTGACGAAGAAAGTCCTCAGCCGACAGAGGATTGTACCTATGACCAGAGAAGACTGACGAAGAAAGTCCTCAGCCGACAGAGGATTGTACCTATGACCAGAGAAGACTGACGAAGAAAGTCCTCAGCCGACAGAGGATTGTACCTATGACCAGAGAAGACTTGACGAAGAAAGTCCTCAGCCGACAGAGGATTGTACCTATGACCAGAGAAGACTGATGAAGAAAGTCCTCAGCCGACAGAGGATTGTACCTATGACCAGAGAAGACTTGACGAAGAAAGTCCTCAGCCGACAGAGGATTGTACCTATGACCAGAGAAGACTGACGAAGAAAGTCCTCAGCCGACAGAGGATTGTACCTATGACCAGAGAAGACTTGACGAAGAAAGTCCTCAGCCGACAGAGGATTGTACCTATGACCAGAGAAGACTGACGAAGAAAGTCCTCAGCCGACAGAGGATTGTACCTATGACCAGAGAAGACTGACGAAGAAAGTCCTCAGCCGACAGAGGATTGTACCTATGACCAGAGAAGACTGACGAAGAAAGTCCTCAGCCGACAGAGGATTGTACCTATGACCAGAGAAGACTGACGAAGAAAGTCCTCAGCCGACAGAGGATTGTACCTATGACCAGAGAAGACTGACGAAGAAAGTCCTCAGCCGACATTTTGGGCTTTTTCATGTTTGGCTACATTTTGCAGCTGAAGTTTTCTGAAGAATCAAGTAGCAAGTCTCACACGAACCTGCCTTGGTCACCATGTATGTTCATTTATCATAGATGTCACTGTTCTTTTCTTCTTTGTCCATGGTATTCTTAGAATCTTTCTATAGCATTTTAGCTCAAAGGCCCCTATGTTCTTTCTTAAGGACTAGGAGATAGTCCAGACTCTGTCTACTAATAATCTATTTCGTTCCTTGTAAACCTTTCAAGACTAGTCTTTGTTTATGCTCATTTTTCAAGACTAGTCTTTGTTTATGCTCATTTTTCAAGACTAGTCTTTGTTTATGCTCAGTTTTCAAGACTAGTCTTTGTTTATGCTCAGTTTTCAAGACTAGTCTTTGTTTATGCTCAGTTTTCAAGACTAGTCTTTGTTTATGCTCAGTTTTCAAGACTAGTCTTTGTTTATGCTCAGTTTTCAAGACTAGTCTTTGTTTATGCTCAGTTTTCAAGACTAGTCTTTGTTTATGCTCAGTTTTCAAGACTAGTCTTTGTTTATGCTCAGTTTTCAAGACTAGTCTTTGTTTATGCTCAGTTTTCAAGACTAGTCTTTGTTTATGCTCAGTTTTCAAGACTAGTCTTTGTTTATGCTCAGTTTTCAAGACTAGTCTTTGTTTATGCTCAGTTTTCAAGACTAGTCTTTGTTTATGCTCAGTTTTCAAGACTAGTCTTTGTTTATGCTCAGTTTTCAAGACTAGTCTTTGTTTATGCTCAGTTTTTAAGACTATTCTTTGTTTATGCTCAGTTTTCAAGACTAGTCTTTGTTTATGCTCAGTTTTCAAGACTAGTCTTTGTTTATGCTTAGTTTTCAAGACTAGTCTTTGTTTATGCTCAGTTATGTTACATTTTCAGCGTAATCGCACAAGTCATTTGGCTCCGGTTGTAGACCTAAAGAGACATGTGGACCCAGATTCACCTCTGCAGTTTAACATGCAGACTGGAAAGGTTAGTTCAGTTCTTTATGTTTTCATTCGTTGTTGTTGTGGACTTTGATCACATATTGACTACAGCCTGTTAATAATGTAAATAACTAAAAGTCTGGTCAGTATAACGTGACATGCCATATAATGGAAAGGGAACTAATCAAGGGACATCACTATAGTGTTCTGGCTAGATGCTTGTCTGTCAACCCAAAGGTCTTGGATTCAAATCTGCATTGAGACAGTTTAAAAACTGAGGTTGCTTCCCACATTTTCCCAGCCCAAAATAGGTACAGGGTAATGTCAGGGGAAGTAAAGGCAGCCAGCTTTATGTTCACCAACCTGATCGCACACCTAGTGCAGATTGGTCTATAAAACTATGAGTGTAGTATCATGTTTTCCCCGTGTGGGTTCCGGGGCCCCATTGTGGGGGAAAACAAGAATAGATCCACTGCCTTCCCTGCAAACGTGTTAGGAGTCGACTAACTGGTAACTTCCTTCGAAGTCGGAGTGCATCTGCCCGAGGAGCAATGAACAACCAGCTGCACACAAATAAGTCAGTAAAACAGATGTACACGCAAAACTCAGGCCCTGGCACAAAGTCAAAGTCCAAATGGACAAACAACCATGTCTTTCCGCCAAAGCTTACAGCCGGTGAACAATGAAGAAGAAGTAGTATCATGTTTAATGCATCACTGGTTAACTCAGTCTACCCGTCAGGTGATGTTCATCATTATCTGTCAAGGCAAGTTCAGATAATAATTTGTAACGTGCATATAGGACCTGTTACCTTCAAAGGATCTTTATGTGGCAGTAGCCTAATGATGATCTGTGAAAAGCATTGAAAGCTCATATGTTGACCCTTGTCCATCTTTCCAGGTGATAGTATTGTACTAAAGGGAGGCATGGGAATCAGATTATAGTATTGTGCTATAGGGAGGCATGGGAATCAGGTGATAGTATTGTGCTAAAGGGAGGCATGGGAATCAGGTGATAGTATTTTGCTAAAGGGAGGCATGGGAATCAGGTGATAGTATTGTGCTAAAGGGAGGCATGGGAATCAGGTGATAGTATTGTGCTATAGGGAGGCATGGGAATCAGGTGATAGTATTTTGCTAAAGGGAGGCATGGGAATCAGGTGAAAGTATTGTGCTAAAGGGAGGCATGGGAATCAGGTGATAGTATTGTGCTATAGGGAGGCATGGGAATCAGGTGATAGTATTGTGCTATAGGGAGGAATGGGAATCAGGGGATAGTATTGTGCTATAGGGAGGCGTGGGAATCACAGCTTTGGTGTTTGTTTCCAAGACCCATTATAAGGCCAGGAAGGAAGATCCTCCTCTCCACAGCACAAAGCCTAAGCAGTATTGTAGAGATCATGTGTTGCCCTTGCAGCCAGACTCCTCACTTGGAAGACAGCATGCTGCAGAAGCTGCTGGGATCAGAACAACAGTGCTCTATCTGTCTGTCATTGCTCTTTCCTAGACCAGCTGCCAGCCAAGGCTTAGGACCTGGTCTGCCCTGCCATAACATTAAGTTTTCATGTTGCATTTCCTCTTCCTTGGATATCGCTAGTTACTTCCCCAATACACTCCTCTGTCCAAAGCTGATAATACAAGTGTGATTACAGACATAAGGCTTTAACAGAGAACAGGCAGTAAGGATTACTGTTATACATTATTAGCTCAGTCATATCTGACCAAGACTGAACAGGTAAATACTTAAATATACATTAGATGGGAGTCGCCGTGGTGGAGCAGCTAGACACTCGCCATGGATCAGAAGGTTGTGGGTTCACTCCCTGGCGGAGCCATACTTTTTTTCCCCAAAAATGACTTTGGCTTTCAGGTCGACCCAGCCTTGGGTGGGTACTGGGTGCAGTCCCAGGAAGTAAAGGCGGCCGACGTGATGCTGACCACATCACCCATCTTGTACCGATTGGTCTATAAAAATAAAGGTCTAGCCCTATGTGCCCTATACGCCTAAAGGCGTGGAAGAGGGTCCTTTACTTTTACTTTTTTTATACATTAGATATTTATATAATTTATCTGTCTGTTTATTTTCAGTTGGAGAGAGCATTCCCGCCATCTATCCAGCCACAGGCTTCCATCGCTGTTGCTCCAATCACTCCTTCAATTCCTTCCACATTTATTGCCTCAGACCCCATCCCTTCCTTTACTGGAGTAGCAGATGAGTATGATCCTCTACGTCCTAATGAATATGATGATGTTGTGAAGAAGATCAAAGATGACAAGGAAAAGGAAAGGGAGAAAGACAGAAGGAAAGAGGAAAGGAGAGACAGAGATAGAAAAGATGAAAGGGACAGAGACCGGGATAGAGAGAGGGACAGAAAAGACAGAGACAGGTCAGTTTAAGTGCTCCTTTTTTTACCTTGGTTGGCTATGCTTAAGTTGAGTTATGATTTTGATCTAAAGCGTGCTTTTTGCTTTGTTAGGTACATTTAAGTTAAGGTATGATGTTGAACTAAAAAGAGGAGTTGCTTCAAGATTATGATGTTGATTGTTACATGGTCTTTCCCATGTTGGTTCTGGGGCCTCATTTTGGGGGCAGAAAAAGAATAGACCCACCGCATATCATAATAGATTACTAGGGATGTTTCCTTTAAAGTCAGAGTGCATGTTCCTGAGAGCTAAGGAACCAGCAGTCCTTCACACAAAGAAGCCAGGTCTGTAAAACGGATGTGCATACAAGACTCAACTTCTGGAACAAAACCAAAGTTTAGAAGTGGATGAACATCTAAAATTTCCCCTGGAGTTTACATCTGGCTCAATTTTTGTATCTGCCTTTTGTACACATGTTCATGTATACTAGTTTGTTAATGTAAAATTGTTTCCTAAAAGTTCATTGTTGAACCTCCAGCATTAAGGTTGAAAATTTATCCTCATGTCATGTGTGAAAGTAGTATTTTTGTTGCTAACTGTTCTGTTTCATTTCTTGTTTGTTGCTAGTTGTTTTCTGTGTCATCGGTTGTTTGTTGTTAGTTGTTTTCTGTGTCATCGGTTGTTTGTTGTTAGTTGTTTTCTGTTCAGTCTGTTTGTTGCTGGTTGTATTCTCTGTAATCGCTTATTTGTTGTTGCTGGTTGTTTTCTCTTTCCTCTCTTTTTGTTGCTAGTTGTTTTCTCTATCATTTGTTGTTTGTTGATAGTTGCTTTCTGTGTCATCTCTTATTTGTTGCTAGTTGTTTTCTCAATCATCTCTTTTTTTTTTTTACTAATTGTTTTCTCTGTCATCTCTTATTTGTTGCTAGCTGTTTTCTGTTCCATCTATTGTTTGTTGCTAGCTGTTTTCTGTTCCATCTATTGTTTGTTGCTAGCTGTTTTCTGTTCCATCTATTATTTGTTGTTAGTTGTTTTCTCAATCATGTCTTTTTTTTTTTTTTTTTTTTTTACTAATTGTTTTCTCTGTCATCTCTTATTTGTTGCTAGCTGTTTTCTGTTTCATCAATTTGTTACTGGTTATTTTCTCTGTCATCTGTTCTTTGTCGCTAGTTGTTTTCTCAATCATCTCTTATTTGTTGCCAGTTGTTTTCTGTTTCATCTGTTGTTTTGTTGCTAATTGTTTTCTCTGTCATCTGAGTTATGAGTTGGATTATATTCACAGCACTCCTGACACGTCCATATGTGCTCATATTCCCCCTTCACCATATTCATCATCATCACAGGTTTAATAGTGCTAGTCCTATACTGATTGACAAGACTGTGTGTGCGTCCTGTATGCTTCTCATGCTTGGCTGTGCCGATCTTTACTTTCAGTTCTCAAATTCTAAGCAGTGATGTGGACACGTTGCTTCCAGAATCCTTGGAAGGTCCTATCTCTCTAAGAGCATTGACAATATTTGCGTGATCCATGGGCCAGCTGTCTGTAATTAATGTGGAAATTTCCAGTCTGTTAGCCCTTTCTTAGCTCTTCGACAGAAGCAGAAGCGGTCTCTGCTCAACCTTAATGGCGGCTTAAACCTTCCTTGCTGACAGGCCTTTGCGTGCTTTTGTTATGACTTGGTCAACACGCTCTTTGAAGGACAGGCTGCAATCAAACCTCACTCTAAGATATGTCATCAGGTTTGTTTGTCAAAATTTGGTCGCTGCTTTCCACTGCTGTTAAGTCTGCCTTCACTATATGCGTGTTCAAAAAGAACCATATTACTGAGACCTTTAAATTAAAGGGTTGACATGTGCATTTGAATCTACGCACCAGAAGGAGATGCGATCAAGTTCATTCTGCATTGAATTGGCAATCTCTTGACAATCTCTTCTATGTCGGTATACCAGGACGTCATCAGCAAATGACACAGTCCTGCCACTCCCGTACAACTGCTGCTCAGTTATCAGCACTGAATACACATGAAATAGAATTGGAGACAGTGGAGAACCTTGAGGCAATCCTGGGCTGATGGTGATCGGTTCTGAGAACCAACAACCGCACCTGAGTATCACTCATCTCTGGAACAGTGCTGCGGCTTCTCTGTCATCCATTGTTTGTTGCTAGCTGTCTTCGGTTTCATCTGTTGTTTGTTTCTAGTTGTTCTCTGTTTCATCTGTTGTTTTTGCTAGTTGTGTTGTTTCATCTCTTAAATATTGTCTACACAGGAGAAAACAAGAACGCAGAAATGAAGATGAAGATGAATCAGAATTTGAGCAAATGAGAAAGAGAAGAGCCCAAGAGGAGGAAGAGGAGGAAATCGATAGGAGTAAACGTGAGTGCTCTTGATGTGTGATATTTGTATCGGCCTTATAGCATGGTACAGGTAGATGTCAGTGCATGAATTGATACATGTTTTTTTTTAGAGATTGCTGGGTTCCAAGGCTCCAGGGGGGGGGGGGGGGGGGGGGGGGGGGGGGGGGGTTTATAGATTAGCTGCCCCCTAACAAATATTTCATAATTAGAAGTTTGCTTGAATCATATGTTTATGGAGAAAGATGCAAATATCATAGCCTAGCTGTAAACTTCAACACAATATGCAACCACCCTTTTTACGGTGAATGTCGGGGAAAAAAAAGAAATAAGACACTTCTGAAGCTGCTGGCCCAAATGCCCCCTCAAAGTAGAAAATATTATGTCTCATATAAATAATTTAACTAATTTGCTGCAGAGATTATTTTGGTTATGAAGAGCAAACAAATGCCAGCAGATCAGGGAAAAGGGTATTAGGGAAGCTGTCAAAGAAAATGAACGTATGGAAGTTTGAAATTTGTAGAGTAAAAGTGGTACTGTCAGTTCCTGTGAAAAGTTGAGATCATTATGGAGAGATTAATTCTTCCCCCTGAGTCACCGATAATTGTACTGTGCTGTTTGTTACACTTCCTTGTAGGACCATATATAGACTTTTACACCTCGGGGCAGTCCCAGCTAGGTCTGGTTCATAGCAATGGTTCTGTTTGCACTTGCGCAGTATTTATAAGACCCAGATATGATTACAGTGGTACTTTGTTATACATTCACTTTGAAATACATCTTGTTTAGACGCAAAAACTTGTGCTTGGTAAATGACCTTTGTTTAGAATATAACCCACCTGCTAGAACTTGTATAAGTCAAAATTAGTCACAATACCATGTGCTTTCTGTTTATTTATCTTGAGACAAAGCCACAGGCAATTTTGCAGAGAAGTATTACTCCAGTCAAGCCATAAATGCATTGCGTGGAATGACCAGACAAGTCACATTTCTGAAACATCCTGAGGAGAAGGCAGAAGCAAAGTTCTTTGGACAGATTTTTTAAATTTAAATTATTTTATAAAACCCCATAATATAACATGACAATAACAGTAGGATTTTTTCATAGGATTGGATTAATAATTTTCCCTTGGTTTTGTTTTTGTTTGAAAATTTGTTTGGTATACTGACTGCCTGATATATGTCAAAGGATCTGGAACGGATTAAGTGCATATAGCAAGGGTACCACTAACTCATGTATATACTGCTGACTATTCGAGTAGAATTATCTAGCAAACATTATTCTGTTCTGGCTGATATAGTAATATACGGCTGACTGTTTTGAGTACACTTATGATTATTATCATTATTGTCTAGACCAGTGGTTCCCATTTAGCTAAGATCTACAGATATTCTTTAAAGGTCTGCTGCAAAACATACTTTTTAAAAGTCACACTGAAGAACTTATTATAATTTATGAATGAAAATTGTCATCCCTGTATGTGTTCCTGTGCTCCATTATTGGGGTGGGGGGGATAGGCCCACTGCCCCCTTAACAAGCATGTCGTCAAATGCGACTGATTAGGGCAGTTTCCTTTAAAGTATAGTGCGTCTGCCTGAGAGGTGAGAAACCAACAGTCTGCATATAAATAGCCAGATTTGTTAAACAGCTGTGCATGCAGAGTCAGATTCTGGAACAGAACTTAGACCAAAGTTCACAAGTGAACGAACAACCAAAATTTTCAGCTGAAGTCTACAACCGCTGAATGCTAAGAAGAAGAAAAATAAATGCATTTTAAAGTTTTTTTTTTTTTTTTAAATTTGCAAATGACATTGTCCATCAAATGGAAAACTGATCTAGATGACATCATCCTATTCCAAGATAATAATATACTGCTGACTATATTTCATTTAGGAGCTGGGGCAGCTATAGCACCTCCCAGTATTCTGCTGGAAGAGGCACCAGTAAATCCTGATGGTAAGTCTCTCTCTACCCTCTCTTTTTCCCCTCTTTCATTCTTTCTGTCTCAGTTGTCTGCCTTCCTGTGTGGGTCCCGAGGCCCCATTATAGGAAAAACAAGAATAGACCCACTGCCTGCTCAACAAGCATGTCGTAGGAATCGACCAATTTTGGACTTCCTTCGAAGTCGGAGTGCATCAGCCCAAGCAGAAGGAACAACCAACTGCACACAAATAAGCCAGTAAAATGGATGCACATGCAAAACTCAAGCCCTGGCTCAAAGTCGAAGTCCAAATGGACGAACAGCCAGGACCTTTTCTTGGAGCTTACAGCCGGTGAACAAAGAAGAAGAAGAATTCTCCACCCATCTCTTCTTTCCCCCAATTTTTTTCTTCATGTGTCATTTCCTCCTCTCCCCGTGTGGGTTCCATGGCCCCATTGTGGGGAAAACAATGATAAGACTCACTGCTTTCCCAACAAGCATGTTATAAAAGTTGACTAACTGGGGTCTTTCTTTGAAGTGGGAGTGCATCTGCCTGAGAGGCAAGGAACCAACAGTCTGCATATAAAATAAATCAGATCTGTAAATGGATGTGTAGGCAACATTCAGGTTCTGGGAAAAGACTTAAGTCCAAAGGTTGACAAATAATCAGAATTTTGCTCCAAAATTTACAGCCTTTGAAGGAGAAGTGGAGGGAGAAGAAGATAATTTCCTCATACACATATAACTTAGCCATCTGTGTCCAAATTGATTATGTGCTTTTTCTATCTCCCTTTGTATCTAAGTCATGCTGTAGTAGGGATGAGAGCACTCACTTCCAGTGCAGTTTTGTTTAGCTCGTTCATTTTTGGTCATGGTGGTATTATTTTCTTTTCCTCAATTATTTATGAGTACTATTTATGTGCTTCAATGGCTTGGAAAAGAACAGTAATGGAAGATGTTATACTGGGAAAGAGAGGCAAGGACCAGCCACCTCATGAATATGGGCACAGTAAATAGGATACACCTTGGAAAGTGCACAAGGTGGAGCACTGGGATTCTTTCAAGCTGGCTTTGATAGAAGTGATGTTCTGAAAAGTACTGTCTATTGGTATAACTCAATTCTCTAACCACATAAAAGCCATTTTTCCAGCATTTACATATTTTTTGTGTGTGTGGATGACGTGCAGTCTTTGGGCAGTGGCTGCTTGCTAGTATAACAGCTCTGATACTGGCTGTAACTATTTAGTTTGTAGACATGTTGGGTATGAATGTATATATGCTCCAAAAATGTGTGATATATTATTTGGGCTGAACAAGTCGCCTTTTTTTTGAAATTGTGTGATTTCATGATTATGTCAATAATCGGAATATGTAATGTTGGTCTCCCCAGACCACGCCCATATACACAATAGCTCACTTCTGATTGGTAGTTTCTGAGCCCATGACCTTCGCACAAGGTCAGAAGGGTGCTCCGCGATGCAGTTGATATAGGATGTTTTATATTTCAGGACACCAGTGCTTTTAACACTAAAAACATGGAGAAACTGACCCTAACACAACCCACCTAGAGAGTGCCTTAACCTATGTTACAGGCATTCTCTTTTCTCGGAATGAAAATGTAAATGCAGAAAGCAAACAACAGAGCGGGACACACCTGTAACCTTCAGGAAAGTCGATCAGTCCAACAGACTTGTGACGTACTCTATTTGGGGAGATTAACGTGAACCTAACCCAATAATTTCATAATGAGGCACTTTGCTCTACCTACTAAGTTAAGAAGACCACTTGTGTCAAAGGAGAAGACCACTCATCAAAGTGAAGGAAAGACATTATTCTTTGCTTCATTTGTAATTTGTGATTGATTTCCTTAAAAAATATTTGCGCTAAAAAAAAGTGAATACTAAAATTTCTTTGAATTATTTAAGTGATTTGATGACAGGCATGCAGCTGTTGACTTCATGCTTGCTTGTCTGTTTACTGGTCTGGGGATTCACCCTGCTTGATGTTGATAGAGATTGATCAAGACTGAGCATTTATCCTGCTTCTTCTTCTCTTCCTTCTGTTTCTTAGGTAACAGCTTCAGAGGATATAAAAAAACTCGCCGTCTCCTTGTGGGATGCAATTTTTAGTTATTTGAAGCCCCACCCTTGATTTTGCTGGGGGCCCTAAATATGGCCTAATGGTTGAACAGGGTTTCCGGGACCTCTCCTCGGGTGATCCTCATCGGCATGACACTTTGTGTCACTGGGTGTTTTTCGCGTGTGTGATGTCCTAGTGGGGTAGAACTTACTTACTTACTTACACACACACACACACATATATATATACACACACACACACATATATACACACACAGCTTCGGAGAATTATAAGAATTTATTTCTTTTAAAAAAATCGTATAAAGGGCCACTTTTGAAAGATTATTATGGGGCAGAAAGGTTAATGTATGCTTGCCTTTGCTTTTCCTTATATTTCTAATGTTAATGTCTGAAATCTCATCATTACTGTTTGTTTAACTGTTATATATATATAACAGCATAGATTTTCTATACAGCTCTTTCATTATTATTTCATTTTATAAAGTTATAAATCAGAATGACTTTACTTCCTTGCAGCTGATCGACCCAAGTCTCCCACCATGGGTATGGGCATGGCAATGATGTAAGTACAGTCAGGTTTGAGATAACTAAACAGAAATCAGTTCATTTTTTGGTTATTTTTACGATGGTCTCCCCATTTGCACACCACCAGGTGTAGGTCAACTCCATTGCTAAGTTGGTTGGACTAGTCTACCATGGTCGAGTTTATGGGTCTGTTGTTGTCTGGTATTTACGTTTTTAATTTATGAGAAAGAGACGGCCTGTGACATAGGTTTTGTCACTCTGTAGGAGGGTTGTGTGTTAGACCCAGTATCTAAATGTTTTAGTAGTGTTAAAAGCTCTGGCATAGTGAAATACACAACATGCGGTATGAGCGCGAGTGCAGAATATCCTCGTGACCTTGTGTGAAAGTCGGATCGCTCGGGGCCGACCTATCAAAGTGAGGTAGTCAGTAGGTCGTCCAGTCGGAAGCGAGCTAGTGTGTAGCGGTGTGCAAATGGGGAGACCAGCGTAAAATTTACCTATTCTCCTTCTTCACCTTCACCAGCTGTAAACTCCTGCAGAAAGTTCTGGTTGTTTGTCCACCTCTGGACTTTAGTCTTGTTCCAGAACCTGAGTGGTGCATGCACATCCATTTTACAGATTTCACTTATGTTTATGCAGATTGTTGGTTCCTTGTTGCCTTGCAGATGATTGGCTCCTACGACATGCTTGTTAGGGGAGGCAGTAGGTCTGTTCCTGTTTTCCCCACATGGGGCAGTCAGTTCATTGAAATTGCATAAGAATTGCATGTACTTAACATTTCTTTAATGGCCATTATTTACTAGTCAGTAGTTATGAAGTTTTGTCTTTTTTTTTTTTTTTTACTACTGATGACATTAGAGGAGTGAGCAGATTGAAATTGACCATGTCATTAGGTATTGACATCTCTTGTGAGGCCATTATGTTTGGGTTTCTGATATGTGCACTAGACCGGGCATGTTCGTGAAAAACCATGCCCTTGTTTACACCACATGTTGTAAATATTTTTTGGAATGCTTCACTGGGAGTTTGAATATCAATACCAGTGGTAAAAGTCATTTTACTAATGTCTTGCTTTGAAAAGACATGCTTTTCTGGTTTTAACTTAGGTTTAATTTTTTGGCTATTCACAATCTAGCGAAGGGTAAGTAAAACTTTGTCAGTATCTCTTTATTTAGCAAGTGTCTGTGGCTAAGACTTTGCTGCGCACTTCGTAACGCCAGGGTGTGCTGGATTCTATCCTAGCTTCGGATGATTTGTCTTGCTCTGGTTTTGACAGTGGTGCCGGGCGCTGACCGTTTAGAAAGCAGTGGCAAACTACTGACTTAAAATTTACCCAGAAAAACAACAACAGCCAGAATATGCTTTGGTTGGTTCAGCAACGTCCTAAAAGGATATGCAATTAACTTTTTTTTAACCCTAAATTGTGACGATTATTAAAATTTTGCACTAATTTTTACGTACAGTTGGGAAGTTAAACGGATAATAGCTTATTGTAAGAGTTGGAAAAGTTTTTAGTGACCATGCAGTTTCATTTTTACAATCTGAGAATGCAACAGGGTGAACACCCACATGCCTGACCACTTTCTACTTTTGCCTTTTGTCTTTTTTCTGTCTGTTGCCCTACTGTTTATGCTTATCGTTTCTTTGTGAAATTTGTACATGATTCAAAGGACCCTTAAAACCTCTGGATCTCTGAGGTGATGCTTGCCGGGAAAAGGGCCTTTGAGTGCCTGAAAACAGTATTTATTCATAAATACATCACCCACCAGGTGTTGATTGGTCTGTAAAAATATAGGTCTAGCCCTGTATGCCCAATACGCATGAAGGCATGGAAAAGGGTCCTTTACTTCATCAATCCTTCTGGTCATAAAGGTTTACCATTGTAATTTATCTTCTTCTTGATCTTCATAGGCGGAAAGTCTTGGTTGTTCCCTCTGCTTCTGATCTTTGATCTTGTTCCAGTGCTGGAGTTTGGTGTGCGCATCCTCTTTACAGATCTGGCTTATTTGTGTGCCGACTATTGGTTCCTTAATTCTCAAGCAGGTGCACTTCTACAGGAAACATTGATCCTCTCTGGGTTAGCCAGACCCTCGATTGGGATGACCACAAGAGAGATGAAGATAGGTCTTGACCGGTGTGATCCTTGACCAGTGTAAGCCCTGACCAGTGTGACCCTTGATTCTTGTGTTCTACCACTGTAGATTCAGCACTTTTGCATCTGCTGTAATTTATTAATCTAAAATACCAACATATTTATGTGCATATTTTGTTAAACCAACGATTTGTCAATTTCCACTTAACGAATAATGTTACTGGTGTCGGAAAAAATCTGTGTGGTCAGTTCGTCACTGATTGGTTATTCTGCAGGGGGTCAGTGGCATCGAAGATCATGGCTAAATATGGCTACAAGGAAGGTCAGGGGCTCGGAAAATCTGAACAGGGAATGAGCACAGCTTTGTATGTTGAGAAGACAAGCAAACGAGGAGGCAAGATCATTCATGAAAAAGATATTCCTAAAGGTAAAAACATTTCCTTTTTGTAAAATATTAAAATATAATAATATATTTTACTGGAACAGTGCCCATCTGTAATGGTTTTACTTAAATGGACTCTGGATTTATTAGACTAGAATGAGACAGTCACCGTCTCTGACCACATCCATATCGCCACTCTCAACAATGGCATGATGCTGCTACAACACATCTTTGTTGACTGCTCAGTACACAGTACCTGAACTTTTTCTGTCTTTCTGTCCAAGTCTCTGGCTGGCCCATTTAGGGGTTCTTAGCTACTCAGTCAATTATTATTTTCTCACCACACGGTCATTGAAGTTGAAAAAAAAAAAAACTATTTGCGACCAGTTTGAATTTCCTAAACAGACTGTCCTCTGGAAAACATTACACTGTTGAACATTGTTGACAGGTTATTACTGCAAATTTACACTCACACACACAAAGTCTTATTGACTTGATCATCCTTGAGTTGACCTTCACTGTAAGCGTAGCTTCACTCATATCCAGTGTATTTTTGTATGCTTATTACATTCTATTAAATTATCTCATTACTTCGCCTTTTATTGACAGGACACATATCCATTTCTCACCAATTCCCTGTCTGGACAGTGTCTATTCTATAGGACTGTCCTGGACTGCCGGCCATTGCAGACTCAACAAAAACAGATATAACTTAAGTATGAGCCGAACAGTTCTCTGACAGTGTCTTCTTGCAGAAGTCAGAACGTGTATTGCAAGACTGGCCTCTCCAGGAGCAGCTTATAAGCAACATGAAGATACACACTATGGGAGGACGTGTATAATCCAGAGGATCAAATGGATCATCACAGTCTGGTGAGAGTGATGCAACGAAGAGTGACAGGGATCTGGTCGATGCTCAGAGGAAAGGCAAGACAGACATATGACCAGACTACTACTAGCACCATTGGTATTGAAATTCTGTGTTTGCTGTTGAAGATGGGGAATGGGAATGCCCAGAGTGCTGGGATGTCGGTTCTTAAATCACCTCAACTCAGCTGATGTGGCCACGCCCATGTAGAGCTGACAACTAAGCTTTAGGGAAACCTAAGAGACCACAAGCTGACATGCCAGTTTATGGCCCTAGTTGATTTAGTGCATGATCACAGATCGCCTAAGAAGTACTTGGAAGAAAAACGCAATCTTCTCAATACTGGGAGGAGCCTAATTTACTTAACCAAAGGTAACGGTGAGAGGATTGACTTCATTGCACCAATTTGTATCCCATATGGCTCAGTCTCTCTCTCTCTGCAGAACAGCTAGCTGCCTGCTGAGAGCACCACACAAAGCGCGACCTCCTTAGCTCTGGTGATGATCCCAAGGGATTTCCGTAAAAATTGCAGCCCTGAACTAAACGGTGCCGCCCGTGAGATGAACTCACAGCCTTCAGAATGTGAGACAAACAGCTTGACCGCCTCACTATGAGGATCCCCGAATTTTGGTGTGTCCCGAATTTCTGCATTCACTTAACCAACCACTCTCCAAGATTATATTAATGATGAATATTTGAATGCAATAATGTGAGTACTACATTCAGTTCTTCTCCTTGTTGTCTCAACAGAGGTGACACAGTCGAACACAAATTTGCTCAAGAACTTGTCCAAAGTTGTTATACTGCAGGTAATATTTTTTACAGTTTTTACCTATGCTTCCTGCCTATGCTAGCTGCTTGTTGTACTGTCTGAATAATCTTTCTTTGGACCCCACAGGGGCAAAGGGATAAAGGATAACTAAAAAAAAATCAACAAAAAACACACACATATAAGAAAATTAGAGAGGTAAGTTTAAAAGATGGGGAAGACATAGGGCAAGGCTATTCAAACAGGGGCCAGATTTGACCCGCAGAGGCAGGTCTTGTAAGGCTGTTAAGTGTTCATGTCACGTTGTATGATATGTCCTCAACTTGCCAGACATGGTCACTAGAGACAAGATGGTCTAATGAGGACTTACCTGGGTATTTTTGCTGACATAAAACACCATTTTCACAGCTGCCTATGGGTGAGCAAAGATAAATGCATAAAGAGGAGGCGGTCCTGGAGGGCAGAAGCAAAGGACACCATTAGCATATTAAGGTAACAATTACCCTGGACATGTATTGCAGAGAATGGAGCCAAACAATCGCTGATGCTGAAATAAGGACCCTTATCTGCCAGAACACCCGACCAGGTGATGTCATTATATGTACAGATGGCTCATTGATATGTTGCAGTACGTGTCTGCAGTAGCTAGTGGAACAAGAATGACAGACATCCTGAATGCTGGCCATGTCTGCAGTAGTTAGTGGAACAAGAACGGCAGACTTCCTAAATGCTGGCCATGTCTGCAGTAGTTAATGGAACAAGAAGGGCATACATCCTGAATGCTAACTATGCTGGCCATGTCTGCAGTAGTTAGTGAAACAAGAATGACAGACATCCTGAATGCTGGCCATGTCTGCAGTACCTAGTGAAACAAGAATGACAGACATCCTAAATGCTGGCCATGTCTGCAGTAGTTAGTGAAACAAGAATGACAGACATCCTAAATGCTGGCCATGTCTGCAGTAGTTAATGGAACAAGAAGGGCATACATCCTGAATGCTAACTATGCTGGCCATGTCTGCAGTAGTTAGTGAAACAAGAATGACAGACATCCTGAATGCTGGCCATGTCTGCAGTAGTTAGTGGAACAAGAACGGCAGACTTCCTAAATGCTGGCCATCTCTGCAGTAGTTAATGGAACAAGAAGGGCATACATCCTGAATGCTGACTATGCTGGTCATGTCTGCAGTAGTTAGTGAAACAAGAACGGCAGACATCCTGAATGCTGGCCATGTCTGCAGTACCTAGTGAAACAAGAATGACAGACATCCTGAATGCTGGCCATGTCTGCAGTAGTTAGTGGAACAATAATGATAGACATCCTGAATGCTGGCCATGTCTGCAGTAGTTAGTGGATCAAGAATAGCAGACATCCTGAATGCTGGCCATGTCTGCAGTAGTTAGTGGAACAAGAACGGCAGACATCCTGAATGCTGGCCATGTCTGCAGTAGTTAGTGGATCAAGAATGGCAGACATGCTGAATGCACTGCATTGCAAAGACATTGAGATGGAGGAATCTGCAATAATAATAAACCACTGTTGTAAGGGGTTATTAATATTAAATAAGGACATGCATGTGGAAACTGTTTGTGGTCAAAGAAAGAAGATACAACAATCAGCCACTACTGGGTCCAGTGAGCAGGGAGACGCTGAGATAGCTACAGCAGGAATGAGTTGGACACATGTGCTGTGATGCCATTATGGACAACAAATTTCTTACAGGTTGTGGCTTGACCGGTGTGATACAGAGATCCATAAGAGAAGCAGTGTCTAGTAGCTGTAATCTACCATGAATATCATAAGTGTCCACTATGGAGAGTGGTGTGAATTAATGTATCTGTGATGATAATGAACACTGCTTATGTATGTTGTTATTTTTTAGAACATGGTTGGGCCAGGTGAGGTGGATGAAGATCTGGAACCAGAGACGGCTGAAGAGTGTACCAAATATGGAAAAGTCAATAAGTGCGTCATATATGAGGTTAGTAAATTTTGCTTCTCCTCATAACAAAAATGTCTTCGCTTCTTCCTCTTCATTCTTTGTCTTATTATTATGTCACATGTCAGTCTTGCAATCTTCTCTTAATTAATTTGTTGTTCTTCTTGTTAATGTTCACTGGCAATTAACTGTGGCAGAAAGTTCTGGTTGTTCATCCACTTCTAGCCTTTGATCTTGTTCCAGAACTTGAGTTTTGCATGCATGTCCATTTTACAGTTCTGGTTTATTCATATGTAGACTGTTGGTTCCTCGACCTCAGGCTGATGCACTTTAACTTTAAAAGAAACAACCCTAATTAGTTGAATTTTATGCCATGCTTGTTATGGGAGCAGTGAGTGGTATCTCACATTTCTCCCAGTACCCACACAGGAATCTTTTTGAAGTAAACTCAGTTGATATTGAGCAGTGCACCTTTCATTGTTGAAGCTGTCACACGCATTTGTTAAGTGAGTTTCTTCTTCCCTTTACCTCTCAGTGGAGCATAGGCTCTCAACTAGCTTATGCCAGGTTGTCCTGTCCTTTGCTGTCATATGCAGCTCACTTCATTCCCATATTTTTAACTTCGCTCTCTAAAGGTAAAAGTCGGGAGATGTGAACCAGTGTCATTGCACAGGGTTACAAACCATAAATGCTCTGCCACCAGTACAGACAGCTGATAAGAAATTGTCACCCCCAGAGCTCCACATTAGTGATTCTGTCATATCACCCCCCAAGCTCCACATAAGTGATTCTGTCATATCACCCCCAGAGCTCCACATTAATGATTCTGTCATATCACCCCTAGAGCTCCACATTAATGATTCTGTCATATCACCCCCAGAGCTCCACATAAGTGATTCTGTCATATCATCCCCAAAGCTCCACATTAATGATTCTGTCATATCACCCCCAGAGCTCCACATAAGTGATTCTGTCATATCACCCCCCGAGCTCCACATAAGTGATTCTGTCATATCACCCCCAGAGCTCCACATTAATGATTCTGTCATATCACTCCCAAAGCTCCAAACACATTAATGTGAGAGCTCCACTGATTCTGTCATATCACCCCCCCCGAGCTCCACATAAGTGATTCTGTCATATCACCCCCAGAGCTCCACATATCACTCCCAAAGCTCCACATAATGATTCTGTCATATCACTCCCAAATGATTCTGTCATATCACTCCCAAAGCTCCACATAAGTGATTCTGTCATATCACCCCCAGAGCTCCACATTAATGATTCTGTCATATCACCCCCAGAGCTCCACATTAGTGATTCTGTCATATCACCCCCAGAGCTCCACATTAATGATTCTGTCATATCACCCCCAGAGCTCCACGTTAGTGATTCTGTCATATCACCCCCAGAGCTCCACATTAGTGATTCTGTTATTTCATTTAAATTCCCCATTTTCTGCGTAAGCACTAGTTAATAAATGTTTTATAGTTTTTTTTTATTTTTTAGTCGTTCATATTTCCTCTGCGTATAGCAGCAGTAATGATTTGACATTTGAGTTAAATATTCTAAGTCTAGTGTTAGTTAAATGAGTTTATCCTAGAAAATTGTCACCTTCGAGAAATAAATACTGGGATCACTAACAGTTGTCCCAGACAGATAGTTGGCTAGGACCGGATGAGTTTCTCTACTAGTTTCTCTACTGCACAGAATAGTCTGATGCCAGATTTCTTATCACCAAATCGAACTAGGGATGTTAGAATTGTCAAACTGTGTTTATAACCTCTAAGTCATAAGTGCTGACCTGTGAACTTCGTAGGTGCTGACTTGTGAACCTCGTAGGTGCTGACCTGTGAACCTCATGGGTGCTGACCTGTGAACCTCATAGGTGCGGACCTGTGAACCAAGGACGACTTTTTCTTCTTTAAGTTTAAGGCTTATTCTTTCAGATCCCTGAGGCACCAGAAGAGGAATCTGTGAGGATCTTTGTGGAATTTGAAAGACAAGAGTCTGCTGTCAAAGGTAGGCCAATTCTTTTTATTAAATGAACATATTATCTTCACTCACATTGTCACACATTGGATTTGCTTGTATGAGCCAACCCTTTATACCGTGTCTATAGAGAACCACAGAATATAATTCTCCCTCTGCTATGTCAAAGACACACTGATGGTCACAGAAACACTGCAGTTGAAAAAGTGATATCAGTAATAAAGCCATTGAGGCTAATAAAAGTTAGAGAGTAATGAAGACAGACCTTGCAAACAAACAGTATTGCCAAGGACCCTAACCTCTGAATCTTTCCCTAGAAGAATAAGCATTTCCATCCTACCTGGTTGAAAGAGAATGAGTTGATGGCTGCTGACAGGAGATTCCCTGGGGTGAAGTTTTAGATTTATTTACTGTGCTGGGGCTCCATTATAGGAAAACATGAATAGACTAGCTGCCTCTCCAACAATTATGTCATAAAAGTAGACTAATTGGGGGCTTCCTCCAAAGTGCATCTGCCTGAGAGGCAGGGAACTGGCAGTTTGCATACAAGTATACACTCAGGTTCTGGAACAAAACTTAACTCCAGAAGTTGACATAACAACCAGAACGTTCCATCAGAGTTTACAGCTGGTGAACTAAAAAAAGAAGACTAAGCTAGCTCTGTTAACAGAATTATCAAAAATATTTATTGCTACAATTTAAATGGACTCCAGATGGAAAGGGACGTCTCTTTCCAAATAGTGACTCCAAGTGTTTGTAGGTCTGGCTCTTTATTATCTCTTCACCATCACCTTGATCTGCCTCATGGACTATTGTGGTGGTGTACCTGAACCAGGGCTCAAGCTGGTCAGAACCTCTCCTCCCTCATCGTGGAAACAGTTTACCAACCTAGAGCCTAGCCAGCATAGGATCAACATTTTCTTCGAAGTCAGGATGCATCTGCCCGAAAGGCAAGGAACCAGCAGTCTGTCTGTAAAACGGATGTGCATGCAACACTCAGGTCCTGGCACAAGGCTATAGTCCACAAGTGTGTGAACATCAAGGACTGTGCCAGAGTTTACAGTCAGTGAGAGTGAAAAAGAATTGATGGCATTCGGTCTATTTCTCTGATAACATTTTATTGTGAGTTTTGTTTGCAGAATTGGAAGTTGGAGACAATAACCCATGCAGTGAACATGGACAAATTAATGATTCATTCTTTCATTTTCTACAGCCGTGATTGATCTGAATGGCCGGTTTTTTGGAGGTCGTATTGTCAAGGCCTGCTTTTACAATTTGGATAAGTTTAGAAGAATGGATTACCATAGTCCTGTTGAGTAGCCATTTTGCACTTTTATCTCTGTGTGTGTCTACAGTCAACATTCATACAGCAAGATAAGTGACCATGATTAAAATTCCAGCAGAGTGCTAATCTTGATGTTAAAATTCGACTGGAATATTAATTTTAACAACCTGTCCTACACCATATTATGAGCTCATTATAAATATTGATTTTCATACCATAATGACTGGTTATTTTCTTTAACTGTCATAGTAGATGTTGAATTAATGTGTGAAGGGTACTAGGAGTTTGACCGCACATGGAATTAGATGGCTGAGTGTATGGAGGATTGCCAAACCATTTGGTCTTCTGTTTCTTTAAGAAAGAGTTACTGTAACCTGTAGTTACCTGTCTGACTTGGAACTGACCCAGTGATTGTTGTACTAACCTCTGAGGTACAGAGGCCTAAGAATAACCGTGGACTAAGGCAAGCAAGCAACAATATATGTGTAACGAGTAGGACAGTGTGCCCATTCTGTATGTCCTCCTTACATAACGGGGCAAGACCACTAATCCATCATCATCATGTTCTGTGCTGGCACACCTAGGCTGTCATGCTTCAGCATCTCACATGATTAGCAAAATCACAGATGAAGTCAGTGTTCTTGTATCTACCTATCTGTGTAGCTGCCTTCCTGTTGTGTTCTTTCTACTAGTCTTGTCAGTTGTTACCAAGTTGTCCATTCCATATCATAACATGTCAAAAAAAACAGTCTGTCTACGTCAAATTGCACTAATCAGTTTATGATTTTCTGTCTCACAGAGGACTTGATATTTTTGACAGCTGTGAAATCATAATGATTCTTGGGATTTTGAAGAAGATGGTTTGCCATTGCTCTCCTTCTTGGCATTACCCATTTTCTATACAGTCTATAAATCAAGGAAAAGAATCATAGTCAGCTTCCTCTTATACAAAAAATATTCCTGAGAGTTTTGTCCCCTACCTGGGTCAAGAGAGCGCACCCATAAATTTGAAGTGAAAGTTGACATCTTGTGTTAAGTCTCTCCCCCCCCCCCTCTCTCTCTCTCTCTCTTTCTCTCTCTCTGCGTCTCTTGTCGCCTTTGTTCGTTATGACACCAGTGTTTTTTTTTTCATCCTTGATCATTTTGTTTCTGTGTGTGTAAAGCTAAGTAAGTTGTTTCTCACAATGCCTGCCTAATAATTTCACATTTAGCCTGGAAATCAGCTAAGGAACTATGCAGTGTATACGTCATCAGTATATGTTTAAATGAAGATGACCTAGGGTGCGTAACGCCCACACCTTCTGTTGTGATTGGGGGGGGGGGGGAGGCATTATAATTAGTCCAAGAAAGTCTAGAGGAGGAAATCAACTGCTACAGGCAGAATGTGTGACATTAAAATTGTCTTGAGAAAGGGTTTTCGTGAAGATACTGTCTAAGCCCAGAAACAAGGCTGCAGTTTCCCCTTTATCGGCCTTTGCTAGTTATCGAGCGTTTGGCTGTCAGTAAATACAATTTAAAGAAAAATATCACATCCTATGATGGAGCGGAAGTAACTGTTCCAATGAAATATCACATCCTATGATGGAGCGGAAGTAACCGTTCCAAGGACAGGATAGATGATCAACATAACTGCAAACACAAGCACCAACAGAGGAATACCAGACAGGAACAGCATCTGAAACAAAATCACATATCAGTTAAGTTTCATCTGCATGTGACGTAGCTTATGGCTTTTCCTTTTTGTGGTATGCAACCGTGGGTACTATTGGTGCCTGTCCACTTGAGCCCAAACACCATGTACTTTTTACAATTAAGTAGCTCATTGCCCAGAGAGGCAGCAGCAGTCTATATTAGCCTGTTCATTACCTGGCACACCAAAACTTCGTGGACAGAAAAATGTACCAAACACTCCTGACCTGAATCTTATCAAGCGATGCAAGCTATTCTAAGCTAGGACACCATTTCTGATTTCCGAAGCATGCTCTGCGAGTCTGTGTTACAATTACATATCTGACTGTACTGTTCTCTGTACTCAAGCCACCGGAAGTCTGCCGTTACTGCCCCCCCCCTCCCCCCTTCCATTCTCATACTAGAAATATTAATGTTATAGTCGAAGCTCTCCGTTTTCAGTGTCTATTTGCCTGTGCAATAAAACCCCCATCAACTCTTTTACCTCTCACTACCTCTATATATAATTATGTTAAATGGGCGTGGATTTTCATTTGGTAAGAGCCTGGATTTGGGTGTGTTTAATTACTTGTCTCAAAACTGCCCTTTACTATGGTCTGACTACACTAACTGACCAACGTAAGCGTTTTAGAGTTCAACCACTGTTGTGTATAGCTTATGCTATAGGAGACTGTGGTTCGACTTACCAGATTGGACTTCTTTTGCAGAAAATGGTATTTTGAATTCACTTCTGCAAATTGTTTCTGGAGGTTGTCTAACTGTTCAGATTTCCGCATTCGTTCCCTTTAAAAAAAAGGCAATTAACACCATGCCAATTATGCAATTAAGAAGAAACATTTTTAATCAAGTATTGAAAAATTAATCTAAAGGAAAACAATCTTAACCCACAATAGGTTACAGGTTGCTTCATGACCATTTTGTGATGTCCCGGTATAACTGTGCTTTATCGTCATAAGACTGAACAGGTTTTCATGATTTGTATCTGTTTGATTCTCATCCTTGGGGGTAATAAACTTAACAAATGAAAATGTTAAGTGTCATAATGTGAACCGACGTTTACAAAGTTAGTTATGCATCCTTTACAGGACATTCTAGAACTAACCCTAGAAATTTTTTTTGTTTTGTCTGTGCATGATTTAACTAGGCGGTTTTATGTTTAGTAGTTTGCCATTGCTTTCTGAAAGCCCCTATAAGTGCCACCATAAAGGAATTGCTAAAATGTACATTCTCTCGCTGCCTATACTTCAGATATATAAGGCAAGGTGCAGTAGGATCATGGTGATAACAAGTTAGTCCATTGAAATAACCTGATAAACAAATTAACAGCAAATGAAGTTGTTTCTTAAATTTTCCTAAATCAGAAGTTGTAAGTAGTGGTCGTTGTTCCACTCCAGGACTGCAACCGTGAGAATCAACCAGGAGCAGATCACAAAAACCCCACTCAGTCGAATAACACAGTTATATTACGTCACTGTAAGGTTAGAAGCAACCTACAGTCCAGGTATAGCCAGGGGATGGCTTGAACAATCAATTATACAATTAGATGCCGCCAGTTTAACAATCACAGACCTAGTAAGAAACCAAACTATTTGATTATGGGAACAACACATTGTGTCAGATGTTGTGAGAAGAAGATCAAATGGTTCGGACAACAGCAGAAGTTGACAAGATGTGCTTTACAACAAAGAGAATCTATAAACTTGACTATAAGGGGCTAAAACGTTTTTCCCAGAACTTGCTGTAAAAAGATGCCTTCGTATTATGTATAGTCTTCAGTTATTTATCACCAGCAACTCTGTTCATTATGGAGAATCAGCTGAGAGGAGAAATTGTGTGTGTGTTTTAGTTTGTGCCCCCAGAACTGCAGTCTGAAGGGGGGTTGCTTGATCTTGAAGCATGGCGTCCGCCTCGAGTGCTTTAGGTCCCGGGCTCAAGCCCTGGTAAAGGCTGGGATTTTTTCATGTGGACTTCTAATAATTTTCCCTTAGGGAGTGAGATCGAACGCCCGTGTGTATTGTTGCGCACATAAAAATTCCCTTGGTCAGGAAAATTGAAAAAGAGTACCCTAACGGCGCTGCCCAGGCACAATTTGGAGTTAAAAATCTACCCAAAGTATTTCAGGATCCTCACCAGTGCTACAGAGTTGTGTGCTGAGATTCTTCGGACTCGGGCATGAGTCAGAAGTAGAACGGAGCATCTGTTGGCTACTACCCTTGTGCCATGATGTTGATCCGTCATCTAAACCTAAACCAGCCTCTAAGGTTACCATCCCAAGGATGACAGATACAAATCAAGGAAAACCAGTTCAGCTGTACTACTATATCTTCTCCTCCTTAAAGTCCATGCCATGTTGCGTTGGTAGTCATGACTATCCACAACCTTCTATCTTGTGTACTTTCAATCAACTCTGACACAGATGATCCTTCATGCCATAATGTCAAACTGTCCAGCATATTTTCTCTCAGTCTCCCTCTGCCTCTCCTCCCCTCCAACTTTCCCACTGTCACGATGTACTTCAGTTTTCTCCTTCTCGTCACGTGACCAAAGAATGTACATCTCTTTCTAATGTGGACAATCAGTTCTCTTCGTGAGTCAGTTTTTTTTGTTTTTTTTCAAGACATCTTCGTTGCTCTTTTTATTTGTCCAGAGTATTCTCATTATTCATCTATAAAAACAGCTATATACCAGTTATATTGAGGAGCCACAAAGGTTAATCACCTGAGACAAAGTTAAAAAATATTTTTTTTTAGACTAATGTAGGAACAACACCATCCAGCAAATTCTTTATGAAACAGAAAATCTCAAACAGTTTGATCATTTAGCAAGAATGCAGCCAGAACAACTACCAGCACAGGTGCTACATGTGAACAAATCTAAAGTGAGAGCAAGAGGCAGCCCTAGAAGAAGGTTTCGTGGTATTAAATAATGTTGCTGTGATTTTTATTTGACATTTGCTTCGTTAATATAAATTTCTGTAACCTATGGTGCCATTTCAATGGTTGAAATGAATTCTGTCCGTATTCCATAGTCGTGGATTTCAAGCTGTACGATAGGCATGGCCAATGAGACACCTTTTTTTGGGGGGTGCCGAGTTGACCATGTATCTTAGTGCACTTGTATTCATGGCAAGGCGCAGACGCCGTCTGGAGGTGACAGGTTCAATTCCCGGCACGGTAACTATAGCTTTCGATTTTTATGTTGTCTAGTGTGTTCTTCTATCTTTCTACATCTTTCTATGAGTGCCATTCACAATACTTTCTGTTACTTGATTAATTCGTGGTATTAAAGAGCTTCTGAATCAACATGGAATGACAAAGCCAATGATGCCAATCAAGCAATGGGCTACCCTCCGAATAACGGGCACAAAATATAGTGGCCGCAAAAACACCCTAACAGAGCCTCAGTCACGTGTCAATTGCGCACTTCTGGCGACTTAATTTGCTACCGCCGAGAGTATCCCCCACGCCGCTCACCGGCGTGGATTGGGGCTAAACTAGGTGGAGAGGACTCACGAGCAGCAGCTTCCGCAACTCCTGCAGCTTTGCTCGTGAGTCCTAGCCATCTAGTTTAGCGGCGTGGGAGATACTCTCGGCGGCGGCGGCAGTCGCCGGAAAACCGCAAATTAGGTCGCTGGAAGTGCGCAATTGACACGTGACTGAGGCCTTTTTTTTGGCCGCCATCTTTTGTGCCCGTTATTCAGAGGATAGCCAAGCAATGGATCGCAAACGGTTCCTTCCCACAACTCGTAATGGCAGAAGTGGATGATGATGACACAAAATTACAAAGACACCTGCAGTTGAAGCTGTCGCGTTTTGCTTCTATAGAAGAATTACTTGAACAGAATTACCTGATTATTATAAGTCGTTAATTCACATTCTTTCGATGTGTTTTGGGAAGTCAGAGCTGTAATGTATCTAATATATGTAATAAACAAACAATGTATTGATTGGCACTAGTAGAAAGATAGAAGGACACACTAGACAACATAACAATTAAAAGCTATAGTTACCGTGTTGGGAATCGAGCCTGTCACCTCCAAATGGCGTGTGACCCTCGCTGTGGAAACAAGTGTACTAAAAACACAACCAGCTAGGCACCCCTGAAAAGGGTGTTTTCATTAGACATGTCTATCGTACAGCTTGAAATCCACAGCTGTGGAATACGGACAGAATTCATCGAAATGGCACCATAGGTTACAAGCATAGGTCGAATAATAACCACAGCAACAATTTACAAACACAGTAATGCTTTGTCTAGAACACACAAACATTAAAGAAAGAGATTTATGTAACAACGGGAAAGCTTGAGATGCAGAAAGGCAGGCAGAGACATAGGGAGAGGATGTCAGGAAATGTATCACCATGGCATAGAAGGAAGGAAATGATAAGTAGTATACGAGACAGGCGTTTGTAGACAGACATATGACAACTGCCACACGGCATAGACTATAAGAACGATTTTCAACATTCTTGCTGGAACTACACGTTTTAGCATTCCAAGGTGAAGAGGTAATAACAAGCTGACCAACTAGCGAATAATGCACACCAGCACACGGGAATATGTAATAGTTTGAAAAACTTTTATTATTTACAGTAGTAGATGTAGTTAAGTCGGCTCTGTGGCAAAGTAAATGCGAACGCTTCGTGATGCCGGGTTCGATCTCAGCTGTGGGCCATTCGCCTTGCGTTGGTTTCGACAGTGGTATCAAGAAAGCCGACCGTCCAGCAACAATGGCAAACTACTGGACGCAAATTTGCCTAGAAAAACCCCACAACAGCCAGGGGCTGTTGGTGTTGGTTCTGCAACGTCCTGTAAAGGATACGCAACTAACCTTTAGTTGTAGTTTAAATGTTTCTAGATGTGGAATCATTTGTCAGTCTATAGCTGCAGGGTCTAAAATGGACGCTGACTCTGCAAACAACTGAAATGGGAAACACGATGGAAGGAGAAATTCACTGTCTAGGATTTACACATTGTCTCTAGACATTTGAGTTCCTCTTTTTTATTTCTGGGGACACACACCCAGCTAGCTTTTATTTCTGGGGACACACACCCAGCTAGCTTTTATTTCTGGGGACACACACCCAGCTAGCTTTTATTTCTGGGGACACACACCCAGCTAGCTTTTATTTCTGGGGACACACACCCAGCTAGCTTTTATTTCTGGGGACACACACCCAGCTAGCTTTTATTTCTGGGGACACACACCCAGCTAGCTTTTATTTCTGGGGACACACACCCAGCTAGCTTTTATTTCTGGGGACACACACCCAGCTAGCTTTTATTTTCATTATCACGCTAAAAGGACTAGACGAGCAGGTAATGAAGAACCGCTGGCGGTAGTACAATCACACGACCTCCCAGTGAAGAGCCTGGGGAAGCCTGACGGTGCCATGTTCGATGCCAAGACAGCAGACATTGTAATGAAACTCCTGACATAAACAATCAGTAGAGGTACTTTGGTGTGGCTGCTGCATCGGAGGACTGAGCACAGATGGTAATGCCTTGTGTGCAGTGATGACTGATAACATAAAAATAAACTTACATTTCTATTTCAGCTTCAATTGCTTGAACTCTGGTTTTCAAGACTGCACACTCTTCAACCAGATCTTGGTATTCTGTTACAAATAACATCAACTTAACAATGTGTTAACGTTAATTTGTGATAGCTCATTGTTACATTAAATATTCACAACGGCTAGCGACGTCTTCTTAAAGTTCATGCCGCGTGGCGTTGGTAGTCATGCCTTTCCAAATTTTTCATATTGTGTACTTTCAATTCTGACACAGATGATCTTCCATGCCATGATGTCAAACTGTCCAGCATCTGTTCTCTTGGTCCCCCTCTGCCTCTCCTTCCCTCGAACCTTCCTACTGTTACGATGTACTCCAGTTTTCTCCTTCACATCACATGACCAAAGAATGTAGATTGTCTCTTTCTGATGTGGGCAATCAGTTCTCTTTGTGAGTCAGTTTCTTTCAAGAAGTGTTCATTACTCTTTTTATCTCTCCAGGGTATTCTCATCATATAAAACCACATCTCCGCAGCTTCCAAATAAGTTTTCACTAATTTACTAACTGTCCATGATCTACACCCTTACATCAATATAGGATTTATATAGATTTTAAGAATTCTTTTTCTTGTCTCTATTGACAGTGAACGGTGAAATGAATGTCTACAAACCTCTCAAAACTTGATAAGTTTGAAAATCTGGAAAATGACAATCCATTCATTAATATTCCAAAACGCACTCCAAAACAGGGGCGCTGTCAATGTCCTGTGTGGCCATGAGATGGCAATGTATGAGGATGGTGAATTGTGGGCGAGTACTTAGTTGGCCTCGTTTACAACATCCCTCGGAGATTTTGACTAGACTAGCGGGATGGATAAACTAATCATTTGCGGGTCTACGCGGTTCTCACGGACCGGGCAGTGAGTTGGGGACTGGACACCAGTGATGGGGAAATCGTTTTTCGAGGATTTGGACAAAGTGATATTGACCGACAAGACGCTATAACTTTTGACTGCTAGTTTTCTGTGTTAGACTAGTTTGTGATTGTATTTAGGTTGGCTGTGTCCTAGTTGCAGTAGCATTTAGAGTAGGCAGTTTAGTATCGTGTATTGTGTTAGTTATACCTTTAGTGGGTTTACTGATAGTTGTGTAAACGTTCCCTACAACACGATACCTGATCATGTCCTAACAAGGTGGCTTGCACCTGGTCGGCAATACAGAAGATAGCGATATCGTAGCGAATCAGATCAGTGACGTGGTCAGAGCACTCGACCCAGAGCTGGACGATAGGCGCAGTGGTGTCGGTGCCAGTGACCCAAGCGTAGGGACGGGCTTGTATTGGAATCTGTTGGTTCGGACTCTGGCGTAAGACCGGCACGGCACTGTAGGGGCAGGTAGGTGACTAGGTGGGTAACGCGAGCCATCTTCTCAGGGGCGAACTGGCTCATTGCGTTTGTACTTTCATTCAAGCTGATATGTCGACTCTGCGAGCGTTTGGTTTGCTTGTGTCTAGACAGACGAATTGCCATTGAGTTTGCACAATGAACCGTGTCGCCTGTAAGGCAGTGCGCATGCTTTATGATAGGCGCACTTAGCCCTCTTGAAAATTTTCAAGGGAGATTTGTGCAGCTACAGAGGTGTTCGGCTAAACTCTAGCAATTGTTGTTTTTGCCAGGCTTAACGTACCCGAGCCTCTGCTAAAGAAACACAGTTTGGGATGGAAACATTTTTTTAAAGTAACAACCTCCGTGGACAGATATAGCTGAGTAAACAATGAAATAAATGAATACAAACCCTTCAGAACTTTCAGAACTTGCTCAGTTTGAAAATCTGGAAAATGGTAATCCTTCGCGGTACTGAGTACAGACGTCTCCGTTTCATCTGTACTTATACTGCGTTTATGGGTGATCGCATCCTCACTACAGTCATTTGCAGTAGAAGTATTGCTTAAAAAATCTGGCTGTCTGCCTGCCTGTAGTGTGCTGGGGCAGTTTGATGCCAAAGAGGATGAAAGAGACGCAATATCGTTTTCTGAAATTTTGTCGCTGTTGAAACTTGTATTTATGTTCTCAGCTGACTTGGCTGACAACTGCGGTGATTGTTCTTGTTCCAGAAAATCTGAGAATTGTGTGAGATCTAACATTAACATATGATCATGTGAACTTATTCAGGCATCCAAAAAGTTGAAAGTAATTAAAGCAATAATAAGCTTGACTGACTGACTGACTTTCTACCCCACCAGGACATCACACAAGCGATAAACACCCGATGACACAATGTGCCACCATGTGGGTGAGGATCACCGTGGAGAGGTCCCAGAAACCGCGTTCAGCCTTTAGGCCATATTTATGGCCAGGCAATATTGCGGCCTCTGGCAAGAGCCAGGGTAGGGCTTCAAATAACGAAAAATTTCATCTTAACAAGGACGAGATTTGCTTATAATAATAAGCTTTGAGAAAATCAAATGGGAATCGTTAGAGTGCGAACACATAACTGCAATAGACAAGAAATTCATAAGGGAGTTTCACTCTGTTATGTTAATACTCGTTTTTTTTTTTTTCTTTTTTTTTGGGAAGGGGGGGGGGGGAATGAGAGGCAGTCATATATTGTGAAGTAAACCAACCTTCACTAAACAGTATTAAAAGTCTGCGGTTAAGCACCATCAAGGTTGTTAATTATCGTCGCCCCGTGTGGGATGCAATTTTTCGCTATTTTGAAGCTCCATCTAGGCTTTTGTCGGGGACCGTAATATAGCCTAACAACTGAACGCAGTTTCCGGGACCTCTCCACGGGTAATCCTCATCCGCATGGTGGCACTTTGTATCACCGGGTGTTTATCGCTCTGTGTGATGTCCTGGTAGGGTCAAATTTACTTACCAGTAAGGAACACAAAATCAGAACTTTGAGAACGTGCATCTTTTCTGTAGCAGCATACGAATGTTGAAAGTGCTCAGTCCCCATCTTCAGCAGCAAGAGAAGAGTTCCAGTTCAGGTGGTACCTGTAACTGTCTGATTATATCCGTCTCATCCTTTCTTTGAGTTTTGAGATCCCCTGGTAACTCCTCGCGGCGCAGAAAACCATGGAGGAAAACGAGAAGAAATACTGACATTCTAAAAGATCTGAACATCAAGGAAGATTGTTAAAAAGCACAATTTTGTCTCAGAAAATGTAGAATTTTGGCGATTTGAAGGGCACGGTGAATTTGCAGAAGAAAAAAAGAAAGAAGAGTTTTTTGAAGTCCTGAAAAATAAAAGAAGTATACACTAGCTGCTGACAGAAAAAAAGAAACATTGGAAGGAGGCTCAATCCCCTTGCACGTTTTCTATTGGCAAGGGCCTAAGCCATGTTTAAATGCGTAGTGACAATAAAATAATAATTTTATTATTATAATTATTATATTGTCACAATCAACGCCACTACACTACATATCGGACATTCCCAAGCCTGCTCCGTCCTCCACATGGCAGCCATACTAAGGTATCTCTTTACTGACCGTTCCCATGCGGAACTTGTTATGATGCCTGCTATCCTGGCCTCGAAGGTAGCATAAATGTGCTTCACCAGGCTTTAATCCCAGGTCACGCAATCGTGTTAGTATCAGAGATTCGCCATTATCCTACTAATCTAGTGCGAACCGCGTTAGTGATGTCTGTTCTGTGCACGCTTCTTACATAACGCGTCGCTGCATTGCTTGACAATTAGTAATAATAATAATAATGGGCTGAATGGCAAATAAATATAATAATCTGTTCGAAACAATCCAAAATTCATCAACAAATATTTAAAAAGAGAGTTCTATACAAGGTTGGGCGAGGAGGGTGGGAGCAGATAAAATGCGAAGCGCTTAGTCCGCTGACAAATATTCCAGTTCTTTTGTTAGACTGTAGTGTGCTGTCAGTAGTTTTAGACTTTACAGCGTGTATGGCTGACAGTAAATCTGCGAGAAAAACTTTTTTGCCTGCAGGGGTTTGCAGCTTGTTCATATGTTGTGCTGCCTTGTAGTTGGTGCAAGTTCGTCCGACGGGGGCTTCCAGAGACACAGTAGTGGCATCTGGGTGTTTAATATAAATACCTGGCTAACCATTGGTTGTTGTCTCTTTAGCTGATCCATCTGTGTACATTCTCGTCCAGCTGTCCTGTGGGAACATGTTGTTGAGTTGTTCCATTGTGAGTGCTTTCTTCACTACATTGGGCTCAGCATCTGTGTTTCCTAAGTTCGGGTTGCAAGTTGAAACATTGAGTGTCAATGATTCCGAGTCCCGAAGATCGAAACATAGCTCTTCGGGTGCGCATTATTAGTTTAGCAGTAAAGAGGGTGCTTTGTTAATATCCTACCCCAAACAGAGGAAATCCACAGGTCACGGGACAGTCTAATAATTCAGGGGGTGGTAGATAGGCTGCATGCAGTCGTGGGACCTAGGCTGCATCTAGTCGTGCGACCTAGGCTGCACTCTCTCGGGGGATGTAGGTGCGTTGGTGTTAGGGTCAGTTCTGGATTTTTGGAATCGTTAATATCATCAGAAAGCCGGGAAACCCAGTCTTACAATCCTCTAAAATGTTGGATTGTCTTGTGACGTCATCTGTGGTAGGATATCAATATAAAGCACAGTGAAGAGTGTAACTTTCCGAATTTTTTAGTTAGATGGTTTAGGCTTGTGCGCTTTATTATGTGTCTCCCCCCCCCCCTCCCATTCCCCCGGGCTGCCAGTTTTTCATGCAGTGAGTGCTTTGACATGTTCTTCATTTTTTCATCATGCAAAATTGTTTTTGTCCTTCTTCTTTCTTCAAAGATGTTCTTTTATTTTATTTCAAACCTTCTCAGGACCTCAACAGATGTTGTGGGGAATTCCCGAGAAAGTCCAGTATAATGCGGATGGGGGTGGGGGTGGGGGAGGGGTAGGGTTAGTGTTAGTATTTTTTTTTCACACACTTACACCCTTATGTTATTGGATTTTCTTGGGAATTTTCCATGATATCTGGAAGGCCCCGAGATGGGGTAAAATAAAAGGAAAGCATCTTATTTACAATTCAAAACTTGCATTCATTATATACAGTTCTGTGTGTGTGTATTATGAACAACTCATAGTCGGTATACACTATCTTCATCTGAAAGTGTGCATACATTGTTGGACATACTGTACAAACCTTTCGTTATTTCCGATTGTTCTATAACATTCCCATGGTTTTCCCGCGTAGCTTTACCCTGAAACAGTTCATGTTATATAGTCTTTCTTTGTTCAATATTTTAATATGTTCAGTTCAAAAAAAAAAAAAAAAAAAAAAAACAACAACAGACAACACGTTAAAAACTTAAAAATACCCAGAAATGTTGGGCAGTCTCTCTCCCCCCCACCCCCTAACCTTCCCCCCACCCCCGGGTGTGTCTCAACAATGGTGTCACTTGTAATCTATGCAGGAGGCCACAGAAGAAGAACAAACCAACAAAGAACTAACTGGTTTCGACAACCGCTGTACGGGGCGTGATTTGGTGATGAAAGGCACCCGAGCTTATGAACTGAATTGTTCGATGTGCAAAAAAAAAAGGATAATAAAATGAGAAGAACTAACTAGTAAGTAATCTCACTTTTTACGAATGGAAAGTCCGTATTAAGTACAGGAGGAGGGGGTTAAGTAGTACTATTGTAAGTGTTTGGGTACCCTGATAACAGCAAAGGGAAGTTATATTTAAAAAACTTAAATATAGAATGGTTCAAGCAAATGCACAATTTTAGATAATGAAAAATATTCTATGCAATAGTTCTTTGTCAATTGAGATGAGCGAAAGTGAATCATATACATTTGGACGATTACTGAAAAATAATTTAAAGTGGGGAGATGTTCTTTTTATAGACGAACGAATAGCCTGGACAGATAAAAAGAGTATTTCGAAGGTAAAGAAACCGATTCGCAATGGGAACTAATTGCTCACAGCCAGCAGAAGACAGTCTACATTCTGTGGTCATGTCATGGGAAAGAGAAAACTGGAGTTCATCGTGGAGGGGAAAATAGACAGAGGGTGATCGAGAGAAAAGATGGTGAAAAGTTTTACATTATGGCATAGAAGATCATCTGTCAGATCGGTGGCTGAGTGGTCTCGAGGTAACGGTGTCCGCCTCGAGTGCTGGAGGTCCGGGGTTCAAGCAACGCTGCAGGCTGGGATTTTTTCACCTGGACTTCTAATAATTCCCCCCTGGTCTCTGGGTAGTAAGTACTAGTAAGATCGGATGCCCGTATGTATTCTTGCGCTCGTAAAAAAAAATCCTTTGGCAGTTGGAAATCGAAAAGAGTAGCCAAATCGAAAAGAGTAGCCTAACGGCGCTGCCCGGGCAACATATTTAGATTTAAAAAACTACCCAAGGTATTTCAGGATTCTCGCCGGCTGGAGTTCGTGCACTGCGCTGAGATTGTTCAGATTCAGGTTTGAGTTTGAAGTAGAACGGAGCACTTATGGGTAACACCCGCGTGTCATGAATTTGATCCGTCGAATAAAAAAAACAACGAATAAACATCTGTGTCAGATTTGATTGAAAATACACGAGACAGAAGGGTGTGGAAGGACACGACTACCAACAGAAGGGCATTCCCCGCCAGGCAAGAAGGCTTCCATAACTAACTGAACGCAGAGATGATATAGGGCATACGTGGCCTACACAAGAAATCGTCACGTCCTGTACACGACTGTTTATCTCACATTAGTATACATACAACTGGGCATCTCGCTTCCTCGGCATATTATACTTCTCTCCTGGAAAATGGCATGTGTCACAGGGATGTATTTTTTGCGGCATTTGTCAAAAGCATACATTATGAATGGCTTATCTGCATGGTCATTACACTGCAACGAGTTTGACCAATGGTAGCGGACGTTTCAACCTTTTGTGCCATCAAGTAGGATCTGTTAGCGAGGGCACTGAACTATGCTGTCATACACAATGGGAACTCAGCATTCGGGCATTTGAACCTAAGCAGCTATATAGTAGGAGTCTCGGTCGACAAACCTTTAAACTAAGGTTTGTCATATAGTAGGACTTTCAGACGACAGACATTTGAACCTAAGCAGCCATATAGTAGGAGTCTCGGTCGACAAACCTTTAAACTAAGGTTTGTCGTATAGTAGGACTTTCAGACGACAGACATTTGAACCTAAGCAGCCATATAGTAGGAGTCTCGGTCGACAAACCTTTGAACTAAGGTTTGTAATATAGAAGGACTTTCGGACGACAGACATTTGAACCTAAGCAGCCATATAGTAGGATTCTCGGTCAACAAACCTTTGAACTAAGGTTTGTCATATAGTAGGACTTTCGGATGACAGACATTTGAACCTAAGCAGCCATATAGTAGAAGTCTCGGTCGACAGACCTTTGAACTAAGGTTTGTCATAAAGTAGGACTTTCGGACGACAGACATTTAAACCCGCGTTTGTAATTTAGTTGGGTACTCGGTCAGCAGACTTCACGCATGTTCCAAATGAGTTTACCATGTACGTAATCACCCAAGCACAATTGGTGGGCTAGCGAGTGCTGGAGTGTTTCTTGAGCCACCAACTCCGAGATCCCCTCTGTTTATGCTGATAAAGACTACTATCCATAGTGCACGAAGAGGACGTGGTACAGGTGTCTTGCATAAAAATCATTTAACCAGCACAGAGCCTTCTGGCGCCCGAGGTGACGTACGGACTAGAGAGTATCCCTTTATCCACACCACAACGTCCTTAACTTTCCCTCTCGCCTGTTTGCGAAATCCCCGTGTTACCGGACGTTAATATTACAGAGAATGAGACACAGGAGCCTGGATTTATACATATGCGTCATCATCATGTAGCAGGTCCTTTGCAGAAAGTCGCTCTCATCACAGTCTGCCTGAAAAAAACCTCGGTCTCTGCCAGTTCTCCCGCCTCATGTACTTTCATACTCAAGGTGTCACTTATATCCTGTTCACATCTTTGTGTCGGTCGACTCCAGCCCCTCCTTCCTGGTACCATGCCTTCTGCTATAATTTTTTCCAATGCGTCATGGCGCTTGATATGACCAAAATATTTCAGCTTACGAGACAGGATCCTGTTTATTAGCCAATCTTCCTTGATGTTCAGATCTTTCAAGAAGTCAGTATTTTTCCTCTTCTTTGTCCATGATATTCTGAGAATCTTTCTATTGCATTTCAGCCCCTTAATGAATGTAGTGTATTATAACTGTTAGTACACATGCGTACGAACAGTTATAACACACAACAGCCGCCGAACACTTATATACACCTCTGCATAGTATTAAACTAAAGGGAGACAGTCAGGTGATCGATAACAGACTTGAGAAAAATTGGCAATAAAACAATTCATCATAATCATCATCACCACAGTCGTATACCACCGTGTGACGCTGAGTCACCAGTTGTTATTCTACGTCGGATCAGCTCCTTCCACATCTGTGCCTCAAAGTTAGTTAGTTAAGTCAAGAATGGTATCACAGCACTCGGGGCATTCACATGCATGCTCCGTCCTCATCTTCGGCAACCAGTGCAGGGTTTCAATATTGACTCAGAGGCTACCGATATGATATTTGCATGTTTGAAGTCAGTCCAGTAAGCCGAATTCTGTATCCAGGTGTTTTTTTAAGACCCACCTCTTCTCCTCTTCCCCATTACAGAAAAGATAAAAAAGACACTTTTTCACGCCTTTAGGCGTATTGGGCATATAGGGCTAGACCTAAATTTTATAAACCAATCGGCACTCGGTGGGTGATGCAGTCAGCATGTCGCCGACCGCTTGTACTTCCCATGACTTTACCTGGTAGCCATTTGAGGTAGAGTCGATCTGAGAGCCACCGTTCCTCACTACAGAGCGTTGTGGTAGTTAATAAAACAAATATGTGTTGATCGTGACTAACCGGCGTCTGGGAAAGATGTTCGTTTTCAGCTATCTTTTTCTTACTGTCGCCATTCAGTAAGGGGCTGAAACGAAAAAAGAAATTATTTAAAATTATGTTTTTTTCTGTTACGAGTCATTGTTTTCAAATAATTATCTAATGTTTTTTTCTTTTCTTCTTTTGCGTGGTCTCGAGGCATGGCGTCTGCCTACAGTGCAGGGGATCCAGGGTTCAAGCCCCCGGAGAAAGCTGTGATTTTTTTTCACGTGGACTTGTAGTAATTTCCCCTGGTCTCTGGGTAGTAAGATCGGAGCCCGTGTGTATTGTTGCGCGCGTGGACAAAAAATCCCTTTAGCAGTGGGAAATCGAAAATAGTAGCCTAACGATGCTGCCCGGGCGAAATTTGGAGTTAAAAATCTAACCAAAGTATTTCAGGATCCTCGCCGGTGCTAGGGAGTTCATGCACTGCGCTAAGATTCTTCTGACTCAGACTTGAGTTAGAAGTAGAACGGAGCACTTATGGGTCACTACCCTTGTGTCATGATGTCAATCCGCAGTTTAAACCTGAACCTAAACATTTTCTTTTTCTTCGCGTTCACCGGCTGTAAACTCCGATGGAAAGTTCTCGTTGCCGTCCACTCCTGGACACCTGAGTGTTGCATGCACATCCGTTTTACAGATCTAACTTATTTGTATGCAGACTGTTGTTGCTTGCCTCTCAGGCAGATCCACTCTGACTTCGAAGAAAGTTCACAATTAGTCGACTCTTACGACAATGCTTGTTGGGCAGGCAGTAGGCCTATCCTTGGAAAATATCACACGATACTCTCACCAGTGTAACTGTTACCTCCTAGCGCTTAATTTTGTTTCAACCGCTTACACGTGCGAAGTGATCAATCCTCATCACTGACCTTCTCCTCCTTCGTCTCCGCTGTCCTCCTCTCCTCCTGTCTGTCTTATTCGCGTATGAAGTTATTTCCTTAGCCAGGGCTTAATTTCTAAAAGAAAAAGGTGCCGGTACTTTAAGTGTCTAAAAAGGTGGCGGTGTTCACCACAAAGTGGGTATTACTCTAGCGCTGAAAAAAATCGTGCCTTAGAAAAAAGGTGTTCCGTTGCGCTTGGTCGTAACTTCTTCTTCATCTTCTTCAGCATTCCGAGCCCTTGAGGTTCATTGCTGCAGATACCACCCGCCTGCATTCATTTCTCTGGTTGGCCTTCTCTTTCTAATTGGTGACACCAAGTGTTTACAGGTCTGTCTGGACATTATCAGTAACTCGTCTATCTTGGTATCCCTCGTGGTCTACGACCATTCATCTCCCTGGTGTATACAGTTTTTACTTCTCTGTCATCTGACATTCTCTCAATACGTCCCTACCAGTTCAGCCTATTAGCTCTCATGATGCCATTGATCAATGGTGATTTAAACAGATTATGAATTTCTTTGTTATTTCTTACTCTTCATTCCCCGTTGTTTGCATCTTTGATGGGTCCATGGGTTTTCAAAACCCTGTAATAAGGCTTTATCTCTTTTAGCTGTGCTCCAAGTTTCAGAGCATTTGAAATATTGGATCTTATCAATGTTTTATATAATTCCGATCTTGTTGTTGCGAGACAGACACTTTGACTTTAGCAGATGTTGAAGGGCATAGTATTCTTTTTTCCCAGATTGTATTCTAGATTGTATTTCTTCTCTCAGCATGTTGGAGCGGTTAAAGTTTGCACCCAAGTAGTTACATGTTTCCGTTCGTTTGATTTTCATATTATCGACTTGTATGTGGCCGGAGTTTATGTATCCTTTTCCTGTCTAGTTATTATCACGTATTCCGTCGTATCTTTATTGATAACTAGTCCCATTTTCTGAGCTGTTTCTTTTCAGAAAGAGTATGTTAACGGTCTCTAGTTTTTTTTCTCCAACGATATCTATGTGATCAGCATATCCAAATATTCTTGTAGATTCTTTCTTCTACAGCACACTATTTTTTTTTTAAATTTCCTTATAATTTTCACCAGGGTCAGGTTGAAAAGAATGAGGACAGAGCATCACCTTGCTTTAAACCAGATCCTAACTACTATCATTCTTCTTCTTCTTCTTCTTCTTCTTCTTCTTCTTCTTCTTCTTCTTCTTCTTCTTCTTCTTCTTCTTCTTCTTCTTCTTCTTCTTCTTCTTCTTCTTCTTCTTCTTCTTCTTCTGCCTTTCTATCCCCCAATGGAGCATAGGCCCTCAACCAACTCAGGCCAAGTCGTTCTATCCTTCGCCATTGCATGAACTCTCCCCATGTCCTCCCCATCTTTCTAACTTCATTCTCCAGCTCTCTTCTCCATGTGTTTTTTCCCCCTTCCTTTATTCCTATGTCCCTGTGGGTTCCAATGCAAAGTCATTCTAGTTATGCTGTTCTCCTGTTTTCTCAGTGTGTGTGTCCTATCCAACGCTAGCTTCTTTTCCTCACCTCTTGGTCCACTGGAGCCTGTTTAGTTCTCTCAAAAGGCACTAAATTAGTTATTCTATCATACCATTTAATACCTTCTATTATGCGCAGGCACCAGTTAATGAGTGTCTGTACATAGTTTATTAATGATTGCCTTAGTTGTTCTCCATGTTTCCGCCCCATACAAAAGTACTGATTTGATATTGGAATTAAAAATTTTTAGTTTAGTATTTCTTTTAATTTCTTTTGACCTCCAGAAATTCCCTAGTGCTATGAAAGCTCCTTTTGCCTTTTGTATTCTTATTTTAATATCTCTGTCAGTTCCTCCATCATTATCTACATTACTGCCCAAATAACAACTACTATTATTACAGTTATAAACAAGGAACACTTAATTAAACAGAACAAGCAATTTCATCAATCACTCTCTCACCTTGATTCTGACGCTGAGGTACCGAGTTTGCCACTAGCAGTTTTATAAACGCCCCACTCTGGACACAACTTGAAAAAGGCACATCCCATTCTTTCGACTGAAAGTAACTAAAACAGACCTTTCCGTTGACCAAATCTCCCATCGGGTGTCGCCTTGTCTATAACACAATCGTCTCCAGCTTTGAATATTATAAAGAGGGCGGTGGTCTATTCAACTTGAGTTTAGCATTAAATACCCGCTGGGTTAATAGTGCGGAATGGTACTTACTCTGAATGTGTATGATTGTGTTTGTCGCCAGTGTGTGACCGTTTAGAATGATTTAGTTGAATTCAAACTTAATTTAACTGCAGACATTTGATCTATTATTATGCGATTACATTCTTGATTCCCTGTATACTAGACTAAAACAACTCCAGAATTTCTCCATTTATTCGGGAATATCGAAAAAAGATTTGACATTAATCATTCGGATCTCTAGTTGAGCTAAACAGGCACAATTCTGTTGAACACAACTTCTAAATGTCACAGTAAGCCCCGCGAAAAAAGCAGCAGATTGTGTTCACTGTGCAGAAGCGAACACGCTGCGTTTAGTTGTGCTGTGTTAATTGTTGTGTTAGGCGAATTATCTAACGCAGAATGACTAGTGCTAGTAATCTGAAACTCTTTATCGCAAAAGAAAAGTAAAACAACAAGGCGGTGAAGGACAGTGAATGCCGCTTGTTTCAGGTTTTGATTTACACACTCGCTCACACATACACACACTAACACACACGCGCGCACACACACACACACACACACAGTCACACACTATTCTTCTTTTTCTTCTTCTTCCTCATGTTCTTCTTCCTCCTCATCCTCTTCTTTGTTTTTCTTCTTTATATTCTTCCTCTTCTCCTCCTTCACAACGAGGAGCCCGGACCACAAACAAATTAAAAAACATCTTGAACACTAGTCTTTAAACTGATTTACTTATTGATGTTAACATTGGAAAGGGGGGGGGCGCACACGTGGAAAAAAGGGAAAAGGGGGGGGGGGTAATGTGGTGCCGTTTCCACAATGGAGGTTTACTGGTGTTGTTTTCACAGTGATACTATTCTTGTTTGATATTGCTATGTTGAAAGGACAAAAAAGGAGAGGGGGGGGGGGAGAGGGTCTCCGTGGCGAAGTGGTCAAACCTTTGTATGCGTTTCGAAGGTCGTTGGTTGGCTCCACGGCTGTGTCATTTGGTTCACGAGTGCAATTTTTTGGAGATGCATGGGGATCATTGCCGGAGCGACGGCGTTTGTGTTTTGTACGATGCTCTCGGCAGGCAGCTAGCTGTTGTGTGGAGAGAGAGAGTGAGCTATATGGGATTAAACCGGGTGCAGAGAGCTCGCACGCTATCCTTCATCTCGATCTATCCTGTACAATCAGTTCAATATCGTGGATCGAACAGTCCATCAGGTTTGGCCTCTCGTTTGTAACGTCTGGCGCCCCTGTCACATAGACTAGTGCATGTGAAAGGTCACGAAGCATGGGGATGGGGGGGGGGGACGTTACAAAAACCCTTATAACTGTTGATACCTGTGGTTGTCCACAGATTTCTCTTATTTCTTGACTACTTTTAATTCATCCAACTTCCTCCTCATCATCATGTAGCAGGTCCTTTGCAGAACGTCGCTCTCATCACAGTCTGCCTGAAAGAAAATCGGTCTCTCGCCAGCTCTCCTGCCTCATGTGCTTTCATACTCAAGGAGTGAATTATAGCCTGTGCCCATCTATTGGCCCCTGCTCCTCCTTCCTGTTACCATGCCTTCTGCTATAATTTCTTCCAATCCGCCGTGGCGCTTGATATGACCAAAATATTTCAGCTTTCGACACATGATGCTGTTTATTGCCAATCTTCCTTGATGTTCAGATCTTTCAAGATGTCATTATTTCTCCTCTTCTTTGTCCAAGATATTCTGAGAATCTTGCTATCCAACTTCCTACTGTTAATAAATTGTGAAACCCCCTGCCGATGCCTTTTTCTACACTTCCACGATAGAGAGTTATTACGTAATCTTTAAGAATGCTAATTACTTAAAATTACAATTCTCTAATTCAACGAACTTATTAATTACACATAATACTATCAGTATTTGTCTTTATTGTATTTTAACAACAAGTTTATGAAAGCTTTTTGAAGTTTATAGCGGTTTGATACTTCTTCTTATCTTTGTGTGGATTTAGAGAGTTCCGAGTAAAAAATCGATCAGAAACAAAGATGGATTCCAGAGTCCTCAGTGATAGGAACAGTCCCTATCTTATCGAAGATGACGCTGACAGTAAATCGTTTGCTGTTTTACCTTGGGACAATTTTTCAAATTGGATTTACTGTGCCTGCATTGTCACATTTGACTTAGAGCTAGGCCAAGCTATGGAGGTTAGAAATTAGTAAAATTAGAAAGAAAGTAAATAAAAAGAAATGTAAAGGCATTTCCCAGCCATCCAAGTTCTTCTTCTCTATTTATTTATTATATTACACTGTTATACTCCTTAAATTCTCTGTTCTCCCCATCCTCCTCCTCCTTCTTCTTCAAGTCCATGCCATGTGGTGTTGGTAATCATGTCTAACCACAGCCTTCTGTCTCATGTACTTTTAATCAATTCAGACACAAATGATGGCTCTCCTCCGAACTTCTACCCCCGCATTATGGGCGGCCTGAAATATCCGTTCGGGGCTCAGTTCTATTAAAAATATGCCGGCTCTGTATAACGAAACAAATGCTCTAACAGAGTCTCAGCGATATATTACTTGCGGACCTGTTTCTTATTGTTTTGATTGCCTGACAATTCTAAGAGACGCAACACTGCAGATGATAGTGGCAGACGATAATATCGACCGTTGACACTTTCCATTGTCGGACTTTTGCCGAGGAACAAATATGTAAAATGCGGACTTGTCGGACTTTCTGCCAACGAAAAAATCGCTGCAAATCTAGGATTGGCTTGGAAAAACGAAACAAATGCTCTTAGAGGGTCTCAGCGATATGTTACTTGCGGGCTTGTTTCTGTGACTATGCCTCACCGCCGACAGTATCCCCCGCACCGCTACGTGCGGTACGGATAGGGGCTAAACTAAATGGCTGGGACTTACGAGCAGCAGCTACCGCATCTCCTGCAACTTCCTCCAATTACTTTGCTCATGAGTCCCAGGCACCTAGTTTAGCCCCCCATCGGAGTCACACATAGCGGCACGGGGGATACGCTCAGCGGTGAGTTTAATCGCGTTTTGCACATGCCTACAAGTCTGACATCTACAGCTGCTAAATCCTCAATCGGAAAAACAGTATTGCTAATCTGCGTGGGAACGCGTGGTCTACCCGCCATAATGCTTTCATCGTCTGTAATGTCTCTAAATTGTCAATGGTCACTTTTATCGTCTGCAGAAACGCTCGATATTGTCACCGGTCGCTTTTATCGTCTGCTACTATCGTCTGCAATGTTGCGTTTTTTGAAATTTTCAAGTAATCCTAGTTTTGCCGCGATTTGTTCCTTGGCAGAAAGTCTGCATTTTTCATTGGACTGAGCCCCAAACAGATATTTCAGGCCGTCATAATGCGGGGGTAGAAGTTCGGAGGAGAGCCCAAATGATCATCCGTTCTTTGATGTTAAACTGCCCAGCATCTTTTCTCTCTGTCTCTCTTCCCCTCCAACTTTCCTACTGTCTTGATGTACTCCAGTTTTCTCTTTATCACATGATCAAAAAATGTAGTTTGTCTCTTTCTGATGTGGGCAATCACTTGTCTTCATGAGGCAGCTTCTTTCAAGACATCTTCTTTACTCCTTTTATCTGTCCACAGTATTCTCTCTCAGCATTCATCTCTAAAACTGCAACTTCCAAATATTTTTTTTCCCGCTTATCTTCCTATGTCCATGATTAACTTCCTTATATCAAGATATAATTTTCATAGTTTTAAGAATTGTCTATCTCGCCTAAATTGACGAAGAAAGATTGCATAAAATATTATTTATTTTGTAGAATACTGCCTTTTTTTTTAAGCTAATCTACATTTAACTTCTTTAATACATCTTCCATCTGATGTTATCAGCATACCCAAGTACTTAAACATATAAACTTGTTTGAGGTTTTTCTCAATTAATTTGATGTTGCATTTTGGAGAGTCAGTTGTCTTTGTAATGACCATTATTTCTAAATTTGTTTAAAATAGAAAAAGTTGGCTAACTTATGAATAACAAAATCCTAATTCAAGTCTTCTTAAAATGCATAATGAATAAATCTGTAACAAAAATACTTTCTGTTACCTGATTAACAAAAATACAGAGACAAATTATGATTGGGACAGCTATAAGTAGAAGTTGGTCAGAAGGGATTGTTTTACCTAAAGAACAGAATAAGAATCAGAACATCAACAGAAATATGTTGCATTTTATTATTATCCCCTCCCCGGAACGAGCAAGTAAGCGCTTTCAGAATCAGCACAACACCTCCAACAGGTTGAAATATACCATGATTAATAAACTAAAGAGATGAGATACTGATGATCTGTGTCAGGGAAGGCAAGTTGGCATGGATCATACTTAACTTCTCATGTAAAGTGGCAGTATTGAGATCAGCAACATTGATTCTTACCGATAAGGAAACTTTCTGTCTGCCTATTTTATTTGTCTACACAGAAACAGTTTTTGTTTCCATTAATGAGGATCTTAATGACAATAAAACTGAAATTAATGTTTCTCTCCTTTAACAGCTTATTTATCCTGGACACGTGAAACTAACAGATAAAGAGGTAAAATATCTTTTTTTTTTTAAATTCATTTAATGTATTGTGTTTTTAGTATCTGAGCATGTTGTCTCCCGGTTTGATGAACTCTGGAATTTACCTGATTGTTGGTGTTGTTGTTTGTTCATCGGAAATGATGAAGACCACTCTTCCTTTCGTCTGTCATTCTTCTTCTTCTTCTTTGTTCACCGGCTGTAAGCTCCGACAGAAAGTCCTGGTTGTTCATCCGTTTAGATTTTGGCTTTGTGCCAGAACTTGATTTTTGCGTGTTCATACCTTTTGCTGGCTTATTTGTGGAGCTAGTTGTTCCTTGCCACTTAGGC